CCGAGGTGGCGGGTCTTGGTAAACGACCCGTGTAAGGCCGTAGTTCCGCCTCAATCCATTTCGTCCACCAAGCAGCGCCCCTCATGTCGTCCCAGACCCACCTTCCCACCCCACGAGGTGGCGGGTCTTGGTAAACGACCCGCGTATAAGGCCGTAGCTCCGCTTCTTTCCGTTTCCTCCACCACGCAGCTCCTCATGTCGTTCCAGACCTCCCTTCCCACCCCGAGGTGGCGGGTCTTGGCAAACGACCCGCGTATGGCCGTAGTTCCGCTTCTTTCAATTTCGGCCACCACGCAGGTCCTCATGTCGCTCCATACCCCCCTTCCCACCCCGAGGTGGCGGGTCTTGGTAAACGACCCGCATAAGGCTGTAGTTCCGCTTCTTCCCATTTAGTCCACCACGCAGCTCCTCATGTCGTCCCAGACCCCCCTTCCCACCTCGAGGTGGCGGGTCTTAGTCTTGGTAAACGACCTGCGTCAGGCCGTAGCTCCACTTCATTCCATTTCGGCCACCTGTCGTTCCAGACCCCCCTTCCCACCCCGAGGTGGCGGGTCTTGGTAAACGACCCGTGTAAGGCCGTAGTTCCGCCTCTTTCCATTTCGTCCACCAAGCAGCGCCCCTCATGTCGTCCCAGTCTTCTCTTCTCTCCCCGGTTTGTTAAATCCCGGCCGTAGCTCCGCTTCTTCCATCGCGTCCACCACACAGCGCTCCCGAAGTCGTTCCAGACCCGCTTCTAGCTCCCAGATCGGGGACCTGGGTAAACGACCCGCGCACGGCAGTAGCTCCGCTTCTTTCTGTCGCAGTATGCATCGCTCCTCACGTCGTTCCAGACACCGCTTCTCGCAAGGCCGTATAGTCTCGCTCCGAGAATGTACGTTTCTCGTGAAGCCGTAGCCGCTACCCCGATTCTTACCATTACATGCCAGGCCTCGGTTTCGAGTCCGGCTCAGCTGGGCCCCCCGCCTCTACGCGTCCGCGAGTGCATCGTCCTTCCATGTCCTTCCCCTTCTCCAGTTACCCACTTTGCGTCGCCCCCCCCCCTCTTCTGGCCCAAACCCCCCTTTCCGGGCTGATAACCCAGACTTGGGCCACTTCCGGCGGGTTTCAGGCTCCCCATTTCTTTCGGGACCAGTCCGTGCCGGTCTCGGCCTTCGTTTCCGCTTATAGTCCAGACTCTAGTTCAAGCCCCCTCTGGAACCTCCCGCGGAGGGGGCCGATGACGCTTGCGGAGGCCCCCCGAGATGCTGGGCGGGGAAGACTGGTGGAGGCCGCGGCTACTGCTGCAGGTCGAACCCTACCTACCTACCTGTTTTCCATGATCTTCTTTTAGGGTTTGAGGTTTGGCAACCAACATCTCCTTCTAATGTTTCGGGTTTGCCAATCGACTTTTTGTGTTTGGGCGTTGCCAGCCATCCACGACCTGTTAGGCTTCAGGGTTTTCCACTCTTTATCAATGTAAATGTTGTTCCTAGGGGTTAGGGCTTTGCCACCCGCGATCTTCTGGTTTGTTGTTTACCGACCAACATGCTGCTTGCTTAGGGTGTGGGCTTTGCCGCCCAGGTGCTTCTTGTATTGTTGGGGACTTTGTTCGATCTTCTTTTAGGGTTTGAGGTTTGGCAACCAACTTTTCCTTCTAATGTTTTGGTTTACCATTCGATGTTATCTTCTCGCTTCGGGGGGTGCCCGCCATCGAGGCTCTGTTAGGGCTCAGGGTTTTCCAATCGTCATGAATGTAGATCGTGTTCGTTGGGGTGTAGGGCTGTGCCACCCGCGATCTTCTTTTTGGGTTTATTGTTATGCGTACTCTCAGGGTTTAATAGCAAACATGTTTAGTTTCAGGGTGGGTTTTGCCGCCCAGGCGCTTCTTTCAGGGTTCGGGATTTTGATTGGTCAATAGTTTTTTTGTGTGTGCGTGTTGCCAGCCATCCACGACCTGTTAGGCTTCAGGGTTTTCCAATTTTTATCAATGTAAATGTTGTTCCTGACGGTTAGGGCTTTGCCACCGCAATCTTCTTTGGTTCAGGGTTTACCTTTGCCGCCCAGCTTCGTTTAGTGTTGGGGGTTTGCTACGACATCCTTTTGGGGTTTGGGGTTTGGCAAGCAACATCTCCTTCTAATGTCTTGGTTTACCTTTCGATGTTATCTTCTCGCATGGGGGCATGCCGGCCATCGCAGCTCAAGGGCTTAGGCTTTTCCAGTCGTTATGAAAGTGAATCGTGTTCCTTGGGGTTTAAGGCTGTGCTACCCGCGATCTTCTATTCGGGATTAGGACCATATATATATATATATATAAATAAATAGATATATACTCTCAAGGTTTAAGGGCCAACATGTTTCAGATTTTTTCGTTTTCCAGGGGTGGCTTTTGCCGCCCAGGTGCTTCTTTCAGGGTTTGGTATTTTCTATTTGGTATTTTCTATCATCTTCTTTTAGGGATTGGGGTTTGGCCACCAACATCTCCTTCTAATGTTTTGGGTTTGCCATGCGTTTGGGCATTGCCATCCGTTCGCGATCTGTTAGGCTTCAGGGTTTTCCATTCTTTATCAATGTAAATGTTGTTCCTTGGGGCTTGGGCGTTGCACCCGCGATCTTCTTTTCGGGTTTAGGATTTACCGACCAGTATGTCCTCTCAAGGTTCAGAAACCAACATGTTGCTTACTTAGGGTATGGGCTTTGCCGCCCAGGTGCTTCTTTTATTGTTGGGGATTTTCGATGATCTTCTTTTAGGGTTTGAGGTTTAGCAACCAGCATCTCCTTCTAATCTTATGGGTTTGCCAATCGACTTTTTGTTGTGTTTGGGCGTTGTAAATCTTGTTCCTTGGGGTTTACTGTAGGGCTGTGCCACCCGCGATCTTCTTTTTGGGTTTAGGATTAAACGTACTCTCGAGGAATAATAGCCAACACGTTGTGTTTTTGAGGGTGCGTTTGCAGTTTTTGTTTGTCTTTTGGGGTTTGGGATGTTTTATGGTATTCAGTTAGGGTTTTGGGGTCCCAACATCTCCTTCTAATGTTTTGGGTTTGCCATCTAATGTTTTAGGGTTTGCCAATCGGCTTTTTGTGTTTGGGCATTGCCAGCCATCCACGACCTGTCAGGCTTCAGGGTTTTTCAATCGTTATGAATGTAAATCTTGTTCCTTGGGGTTGTGGGCTGTCCCACCCGCGATCTTCTTTTCGGGTTTAGGTGAATTACCCAACGTGTCCGTTTCAACGTCTAGTGGAGGTCAGTATCCAACATGTCGTTTATCTAGGGTGAGGGCTTTGCCGCCATCCTCGATCTGTTGGGGTTGAGGGTTTTGCAACCACAGTTTTATTCCTTCGGAAGTGGGGCTTTGCCACCCGTGATCTTCTCGGGTCTAGGGCTTACCTAGCAAGTTCTAGTATCCAACATGTTGCTTTTTCATGGTGTGGTCTTTGCCTCCACGATCTTCTTTCAGGGTTTGGGATTTTCGCGATCTTCTTTGGGGGTTTGAGCTTGTCAGGTGTGGGACTCACGATTTGCGAGCCGATGTCTTGGTGTAGGGTTTGGAGGTTGCCTTCAGTGGCAGTGGCAGCGGCGGTGGCAGGGCAGTGGCAGTGGCAGGGCAGGGTAGGGGGGCGGGGTAAGGGGGGCAGAGGGGCAGGGGGAACAGAAGACACCGGGAGTGGCAGTGGGGAGTCGGAGTGGGATTGGGAGGAGTAGTAGGATTTGGAAGATCGAGCTTGTTTTTTTTTGCTGAAACACACCGGATGTTTTGAGAGTCTTCTTGCCGAACTTGTCTTCAGTGTTTTCCGGAGTCGTTTTGGTGACTTCACGGGCATTTTCGAGAGGAAGCAGCAATACAAGCAAGTTTAAGTGCGGATTACAGGCGTGTTCCGTGGAAGGTGCCATCGTAGTCGTGTGGAACAGGACTTGCTCCCACCGGCAGGGATGGTCTGGACACGTCCTCAGCGGGCCTCTTCGGAGTGTGGCAATTTGGCTATCCGCTTTCCTGCCCTGTGTTTTCGACCTGAGGACTGGACCGTTCCGGTCTTCAGCCTGACTTTCCTCATAGGTCTGGCGCTTGATTATGACTTCTTCCTTTTCGAGCGGGTCTTTGAGTTCCGCAGCGAGGAGCGGGGCTTGCAGAGAGTGAAGGTGCTCAGAGGGACATGCCTGGTGGCCAGGGATTCGGAGATCGCGAGTCAATTCAGCTTGGCTTGTCTGCAACGGGCGGAACCATCTCGGCTGCTGGACTGATTCTGGGTCTCACTTTCCTTGCCCTGGTCCTGACGTCTGAGCCCGGCCCGCAGAAAGACAGCCTCCGCAAAAGGGGCCGGACAAAAGCTACTTGTAATTCAACAGAGCAGCCCTCAGCCCTCTTTGGGCCGAGGTGTCCAATGAATGGTTACATGGTGCCTGCAGAAGTCGTCTTGTGTTGCTTGCTGATTCTGTTTTGGGTTGTCCGTCGCTTCAACCGAGGAGCTGCCAATGATGAATCAGCAAGGCTTTGTGTTCGTGTTCAGTATCGTGGTTGAGACTTGGCAGTGCATTTGTCTTCCGCAATCCCGTGACCTTTTGACAGTACCGGTACATCGTGTGACGGGTGATATGCCCGAGGACACGTTCCTAGTCCGCACGCTTGTGGTCCCGGCAATGCTGTCTATGTCACCTTGGCTCAACTACTGGCCCAGGCCAGAATCACCGGTCATCCCGTGTCGAACAGCAATCCCTGGCAGTTTCTGCATGGCTTTGCCTCTTTTTGTCAGGGAGATGCCGGAACCACAGTATGAGTGGCTTGGGGAAGGGGATGAAGCTGCACGGACGAAGCTTCGCATGGCGAGCACTGCCAGTGCCGAAAGTATCGAATCCGACTGAGCAGTTCATCCTGGCCTTGTGCACCGTGGGTGCTTTTCCAGCTGTTTCACTGTGTAGGACCGTAGGCCGTAGGAGATCGTTTAAGAAGAGCATTGTACCAAAAGGTCGCAGCGGATCCTGGAGTGAGTTTCGGCTGCTTCCATGCTTCTACAGTGTAAGCTCACAGGCGGAGACCTGGCATGTGGACACTCCGGTTGGCAAAATCGAGGTGCGAAGGAGAGGGTGCACAGCCGGTCACTTGATTTGTGTGTCTCGGCAGGCAAAGCTCTCGGTTCCACTCGGTGAGAAAGCAACGGCGATCGTGCTTTTAATTCACGGGATGTCCGCGCAACCAGAGATTGTGGTCACCTTAGTTGGTTGTATCATCCCGAGACTTGGCGTTTGACATCCCATGCTAGGTGTTCGAGTGGACGTTCCTCATGGAGGTGCAGGGCATGCCGCGCATCGTTTGAGGTTCAAAGTCCAGTGGCCGTAGCTAGCTGTGATGAGTTCACGTTGAAGTTTGTGCTATGAACTTCTAGATCCCTTTGCTTTGATAGTTTCCAGGGCCTCCGTCGACGGAAGGTGGCCGCAGTTCTACCCAATCTCCACTCATGTGGGAATCTGAATGATGCATCGAGACACAGCAGTTTCTTTTGGAGTCGCCGAATCCAGTTGTGTCCTGATCCCACAGTCGCTCTCCATGTGCCGACTCAATTGCTGAAGTACGAACTGCTGCTGCTATTGCACATTCCTGCACAGCTGTGGCCAAGACATAATCGCTGTCTGATCTGTTCGTATGCAAAGAATTGAATAGCTGCGATGTGCCGTGATGTGTTGCCTTTTTGCAGTGGATACCAGAAGCAGAGCTATTGACTTCAGATGATGCAGGGTGGGAAGTGCAGATGGTTTCGGGGCTCAAGTTTGCTTCCCTGACATGCTGCAAGAGTGGAATGGTCCTCTCAGAAAGCTAACTATGCGATTCATCAAACTTGTACCTTGGGGAGCCGATGCGGTACGGGAAATCTGTCGACTCAGGACAGGAGCCGCTTGAGGAGACTTCTCGTTTTAGGAAACTGGTCGATTCAGGACTCCAGCGCAGTTTCCCGAATGCGTGTTTTCCCAATCCGCGCTTTCCAGTTTCGATCCGAGGGCGATTTAGAAACTGGCCACGATTCATGAAATCAGGACCCTTTTGAAACCCAAGAAGCATCGTCACGGCGACATGAACAGAGGTTTTTCGCGGGTTTTCCGCCTGGTGTTTGTTTCGAGGGCAGGCAGATCTGCGTCGTGCAGACATCACCCATGCACAGAAGTCTTCGTTGACGGTTCATTCGGCCAACGTAGCCCGTCGGTCGGTCTGCTGAGTGGTGCGTCGGGGTTCCGAGTGAGTGCTCTGTTTCGGCATGGCCCAGGAACAAGTCTCGGAGCTTCTGGACCTAAGTTGTTCGTCTTGAGGCTTTGGAACTGCCCGGAAGCTGTGTCCCTCGCTGGCTACAGTAGCCTTTCTGGCCTTTTTCCAGCACGTGCTGTCTCGAGAATTGCCAATTGCAGCACGGAGTGCTCTGTTTCTTTCACGACTGTGAGCCGAGCCACGGCTCGGTTTTCCCAGGTGAGGCCACTGCTCCAGCTTCAGGCGCTGCGCAACATTTCGCTGTTTGCAGAAGTTACCGGACACAGAGGAGGGGCACTTTAAGAGGAGACGCTAGGGCCTGCTAGGGGGCCTGGGGCCTAGGGGACGAGGGCTCTAGGAGTTTTGGTGCTTGCACGAAGGTCCCAATCAGTTGGGGAAGAGGTGAAGCAAACGACTTTCAGGCAGTCCTGCCGATGCTGTGGTAGCTCTCGAGGCCAGAGAACGAGGGAGACGTTTTCGTCGTTGCCCGTCTTGGTTGTGCAGGCCATTGCCGGGTGGATGCAAGAGACGGCAGGCCACTGCCCGGCGGACCCACGCATGCTCTCTGCTTCTCATTCTTCTTCTTGAGTGACCAGGCCCTGTGCCACTTTTCGTCTATGGCAAAAGCTGGGGTGATTTCCTGAGCACTCGAGCCGAGCCTCATGAGAAATCCGTGAGGGCAGTGTCAGCGAAGAGCTTGGAACACGCATGTGCTGCAACTTGAAGCTAGATTTCCGTGAATCGGACGGGAGCTTCTCGAAGGGATTTTAGGCAGCTGGGTCATGCTGAGCCTTATACCTTGCTTCCGCTGAAGCTGTGTCGAAAGCTACTCAAGGTGGGGCACGGGCTGTGGAACTGTGTCAGCAGCTTCGTGAACATGGGTGCCTGGGATGCCATTGTCGCAGTATGTTATGTTGAAGTTTAGCCGGAATGCTGCCAGGCGACCTCCTTCAGGAATTTGCTTGGCTTGCCCTGTCCCGCCAGGTGCGGCACTTGGCACCGATTCTCTCTCTCGCTCTCTCTCTCTTTCTCTTTCTCTTTCTGTGCAGTCTTTTAGTGTGTTGATGATCCTTCATGCTGCGGACGAATGAAATCCCGCAGTTTCGTGGTTCATGAGTAGCAGGCCCTTAGCGTTAGGTGCAGGGGCAGGGTCGTTGAGCTCGTTGGTGCTGGCGCTGCTTTCTCAGCATTTGCAACCGGGGCCGACTGTTGACACTCAGGGCCCTGCTTTCGCCAGCTTTGACCCGGACGCTCAGGGCCTCCCTACGATCTTCTGGGTCGGGCTGCTTACTGGCATCCTCATCGGGATCCTGCTATCGTCCCTCTTGGACCTCCTCTACTTGTTCAAGCAATACTTGGCTGTGGAGCTCCGGAACCGCCTTGCCACTCTTAGTCTGAAGGGCTCGGCTCGTGGATGAGAAGTTCGGGAAGCGATCTCCAACGCCTTGAGGCTGCTTTCGCTCGGCTTAGCATCAGGCTGGAAGCTGCGGAAAGTCGTATTGCAGAACTTGAGTCTCAGCTGCGTGAAGATCAGAGCAGCAGGTCATCCCGCTCATCCGGCTTCTCCTTTGTGGAAACACCTTCGCGGCCCACTTCATCGACTACTACACGCACAGCGCATCCTCCCGCTACCTCGGAGTACCCCTTGCCGGCTTCGGCCTCAGCTTCGAGTCCTGTGGCTCCTCGCCTCACCGATCGTGAGCGCCAAGAGTTAGCTGACCAGATTGGAGAGTGGTTGCGCGACAGGCTCGCCGGTCGCACCGTTGGGGCTTCCGGCCGGGAGCGGCTGGACCTGAAGTCGAGGATCTACGTGATTGCCCGGGACCACGCGGGCGTTCCATTCAATCCGGTGCGAGTGTATTCTCGGCTCGGAGATCTCCGCAGTCACTTCCGTCATCGAGGTGAGCCAGGAGACGCTGTGTTCGTTGGGTTCGCGACGGCTTGGGAGGCTCGTCGCGCTGTGGCCACTGCAAACCTGAGCTGGCCTGATGCCAGCCAGTGAAGCGAGCGGAGAAGCAGGAACCGGCGAGGCCGAGGAGGCTGAGGACATCAAGGACCACCTGGTCGTGCGGGGCGAGGAAATTGACCTTGAGTTCCCGCTTGGTGTGCTGGCTGTGGGGAGCGGCGAAGACCGTAAACTCGTCGCAGCTGTGGCCATCGCAGAGAGCTCTGACGGCTCCATCGTGGTCGGCTTCCCAGCCAAGTGTTGGCACCGCACTGCCGCTCGCCGAGTTGTTAGCCTTGACCTCGTGAAGAAGGTGTCGACTGTCAGGGTGAAGTGTGCGGGCGTGGAGGACCGCAGTGTCGCTTTGGATTCCGAGCTTCGTGTCTGCATTGGCATCTTGACCGCGGAGGGCGAGGCGGCCTTTGACTTCATCCGCGACTTTTCTGCCGAGGTCGAGATTGATTACAGCTTTGGCACGGCGGAGCAGCCTGAGCTCCTTCCCCACGGTGAGTCGCTGGCGGATCATTCTAAAGTCCTCTTTGAGTTCCAGACGGCCGAGAGTGCAGCCCCTGAAGCTGAGCCAGCTGCCGCTCCTCTTCCCGACGTTGAAGGCAGGCTTGATCGTTTGGAGGGATGCTTCAATGCCATCCAGGCGGACCTCCGGAAGCTTGTGGCAAGTTCGGCGGCCCCAAAGGTGCCTTCTCCTTCAGGCGGCGTCCCGGCAGGGCGCAAGTCACCTCAAGCTTCCGCTCCTCCTCCTGCTCAAGGCGCTGGATTGGACGGGCTGGACAAGGGGGTGGTGAAGGCTGCCCTCGAGTCTGGGGTGGACCCGAAACACTTGGCGGAGATGGGGCGCCTACTCCGAAAGCAAGGGAAGATCACCGACGAGCCAGCCCCGACTCGCAAAAAGAAAGCGCAGCAGCTGTCCGCGGTGCTCGAGGACCCCCTGGACGACGAGGAGGCCGAGGACGACGAGGAGCCGGAGGTTGCGGTTGGCTTGGACCCCATCTCCCAGGCGGTGTCAAAGCTTACGGCCATTGCGGCACACCTGGTGGAGAATCGGAAGAAGGAGGGCAGCTTAGAGGCCCTCCTCGACGGCTCTGGGTCGCCCGCCGAGCCTTCGACAGCGGCCAGCAGCAGCAGGAAAAATGCAGTCGCTCTTCGTGCCCTCCGCGATGGCCTCCGTTCTCATCCGAAGGAGCTGGCTCGCGCTATCGAGAAAAACATGGATGCCGACTTTGCCCTCCGAAGCTCCCTTCCCGGCGGAACTCAAATTCCAGTGACTGCTCGCGCCTGGCTGGAGACCCGCTCGAAGGTCCAGAACTACCCCTCGACAATCCGGTTCCTATGGATCCTTGCTGGAATCGCCGACTCTCTGAGGGAGGGCAATGCAGACGAGGCGTACCTCCGTGCCCTACTAGGCCTTGCTGCAGGAGATCAACTCTCGATAGATCGAGGGGGGTGGGGACTCGCGGGAGAATTTCTCCTCGAGGACCCACCGCCATTTCCCGCCTTTGCGAATCACAGCCTGCCAAGTGGATCAGAAGTCCCCTTTACAAAACTGATCGACCATCGCTGGATCGAACTCTTTGTCTCCAAGCTCAAAGATGTCGACACCTACCTGGAGACCCGCCGCAAACTGGGAAACCCTCATTACGGAGGCGGAGTCCGGAAGCAAGACGAGTCTGGATCTCAGCAGGGCACCGACACTCCAGAGAAGCCAGGAGCGCCGGGCAAGCCGCCGAAAGGAAGGGGAAAGGGTGGCCGCAAAGGGACTGCGGCCGAGGAGGAGAAGTGAGTTCTTTTGGAGTCGGGGTGGCCGGGCCCCGCATAAGTACAGCCGGCCACACGCGAGAAGAGGCCCGCTCTGAGGCGACTTCGGAACTGGTAAGGGTTCCTGGGGCCGGCGCTACAACCGTTGACCCGTCGTCTATGTGGCAGGCCCTCCCGCGCTTTTTGCTCAATGGAAACAATTCTCTTTCTTCATTTTTCAGCAGCCTCACTACTGCCTGTGAGCGCTCTTTTGAAGGGCCGACCGCGTCGTCTTCGTTCAGCCCTTGGCCTATGGCTCTTCCGTACTACCCCGCCTCTGCTTCTCCCAGGCTTTCGCTGTCGGCTGCGGAGGACACCCGAGAGGACCGTGCAATGCAGTCTGCCTCGAACCTACTGGTGGCTGCTCTGTCTTGGTTGGCTCTGGGACGCCCTCGCCGAGCACCTCCTGAGATTTGTGGACGGCGGGAGCTCAGTGATCATCAATGGGCTCATGTGCGGCGGTTGGAGGGGATGATGCGAGATGTTGTTTGCCATTCGCCCGTGACTGCCGGAGACATGGGCCGCGTGGCCTCGAAGATTGAAGACCTAGAGGAGATCACCCGACATCTACGCGCTCGCACCGACCTACTTGCAGTGCTTTGTCGAGGCTACGGACCCAGCAGAGCGCCTTCCCGGAGCGCTGACCCTGTGGAGGCCGACTTCGCCTACGACATGAAATCAGAGATGTTGGGAAAAACCACGGCTAAGCCCGTGGTCGCTTCGCGATTGGAGTTTGGCCCTGAGCCTCGGTTCGACCCGACTTTGTTCATGGACTCCGAAAGCCTGGACAGGTATAACCGGCCCCTGCACCACTCGCTGCCTGAGGAGGACTGCCCTGAACCGCCCCCTCGAGCACGGATCTTGGCGGCGCCCGGGGAACGCCTTGCACTGTTCCGAAAGCTCGACTCGAGCGAACGCTTGAAGTTTCTGCCAGCAGGAGAGTGCAGGTCCCGATGCCTAAACGGGCTGTTCGCCGTGGCGAAGTCCCTTGTCGCGGACAGAATGATTTTGGACGCCAGGGGCCCTAACTTGCTTGAGTCGGGGCTCAACCGATGGACGCAGTCTTTGGGCTGCGCTGAAGCGCTCCTTCAGCTCCACATCGACGACCATGAGATCCTGGTGCTGTCAGGTGCCGACTTGAAAGACTACTACTATCACTACCGGATCAGCCGGGAGCGGCTCACTCGCAATGCCTTTTGCGGATTGGTTGACGAAGCTACGGCCCGTTGCTTCAGCTGCTTTGATGGCAATTTGACCGGCAAAGGCCCTTTCCGCGCCTGCCTGAACAGCATGGCTATGGGGGACTTGAACAGCGTCGAGTTCGGGCAGCTTGCCCATTTGTCCCTCATTCTCCAAGCCGAGGTGTTTAGTGCTGAGGAGATGCTGACCTTAAAGTCTCGAGCTCCGCGGGGAAAGGTGGCTGGCGGGGTCGTTATTGATGACCTCCTCATTGCCGAGAAGGTTGACCGCTCGAGGCAGGGGTCTCTCGGCTCCGGGTTCAGTGAAGGAGCTCGTCGGCTGAAGAAGGCGTCGGCGGCTTACGAGAGCGGGGGCCTGGTTCAAAACCACAAGAAGTCCTTTGAGGAAGAGCTCCAAGTCGAGGTCTGGGGCGCTGAGTTAGATGGCTTGCGAGGTACCGCTCGGCCCCTCTCCACGCGGCTCATCCCTGTGCTCTCCATCACCGTCGACATCCTGAGGACCGGCGTGGCCACGAAGCACATTTTGGCTACATTGTCAGGTTTCTTCGTGGCGGTCTTCCAGTTTCGGCGGCGGTGCATGTCGCTGTTGGAAGAGGTCTTTAAGGCTCCGGATTGGCTCGGGGATCACAAGACCTTCCGGATCTGGCCTGCTTTGGAGGCCGAGTTGTGGAGCATCGTGATCGTGGCACCGTGCGCCCGCTTCAATCTGAGAAGTGACTTCTGTTGCGAGGTCTCTGCCACCGATGCTTCGGATTCCTGGGAAGCGGAAGTCTCCCAGACCTTCTCGCGGGAGTTCGTTGGGGAGCTAAGCCGCCACGGGATAAAGAAATCGCTGTGGACCCGCCTGCTTCGACCTGTCCAAGCTGCTGCCCGTACACGAGGTGATCTCAGCAAAGACGAGGAGCTACCTGACGGGTCTTCCTATGGCTACCATCCTCTTTGGCAGAGCCTTTTCCGAAGCGTGCCATTCAGGGAGGTTTGGAGAAGGAAAATACGGCGGGCCCGGCACATTAACGTCCATGAACTTCGGAGCATGGTGACTGCTGAACGTCGACGCGGACTGGCGGCGCCTTCATCTCGAGTGGTTACTGCTTCCGACTCTCAGGTCTCGCTGGGGGCAATCCAAAAGGGAAGGTCGGGGTCCTCCCGCCTCAATGGGGTGCTTCGCCAAAGTTTGCCAGACCACTTGTCGGCCGATACCAGCGGGATCTACGCCTATGTGGGGACGGCTGACAACCCGGCCGACGACCCGACTAGACATGCTTCGGTACGCGGTGCTTCCGAGTCGATCCCACGGTGGCTTGAGCGGGCCCTGGACGGAGACTTCGACGAGCTCGAGGAGTTCCTTAAAGACTACGACCTTGACACTGTCTCGCTGCTTGACCTCCCTCCTCTGGAGAGTCTGGCTCCTGCTCGAGCTCTTCTCCCTCGGCCTCCTCGACACGAACGCCGCCGCGAATTCATGCAGTCTCTCCCAGCGCCGACGCCCAGACCAGACGCGGAGCGCTTTGCTGAGGGCTTGTTGGAGGCGGCCGAGATTAGCAAGCTGGACCTCTTCGAGCTCAGCCGGCTTCTCCCCGTGGAAACACCTTCTCGCGGTCCTGCTAACTCAGAAGCTAGATCATTTAGCAGTGGCATGTTCGTGCACGGTGGTGTGGTCAGCCTAAGGAGAAACTGCAGGGACTTTCCTCGCTGCAGCGCTGCGGTGGCCCGGTACGTGAAGTGTGACTTCCCTGGGTTCCGATACACGAGCTTCTCCTTCATGACAAATGTGCGGACTTCCCTTCATCGTGACTCTCACAACGACGTCGACAGCATGAACTTGGTTGTGGCCCTCAGCCGTTTCGATGGTGGGGAGATATGGTCAGCTTCGGAGGACGGGGATGTGTATGAGGATGTGAACGGCTCGCCCGTGGCTGGACGTAACCTCTCCTTTGACGGCGGCTTCGTGATGCTGCGGCCCCGGGAATGGCACTTGACGAGGCCTTGGAAAGGTGAGCGAACAGTACTTATCCTCTACACCGTCCGCGACTACCTGAAGCTGGCGAAGTCTGACTACAAAGTGTTGGAGGAGGCTGGTTTCCCTCTGCCGGAGCCTCTCTCGAAAAGGTTTTCTTCTTCGGGGCCCACTCGGCCCCCCTCTTTCTCCGGACGCGGCGAAAGGCTGGATCATGTTTGTGAGCGCAAGTTAGAGCCCTTGTTCAAAGAGGCGGCAGGCTACGAGGACGGTTGTGAGCTTGACCTTCCCCCGGCAGTCGTCTCCATTCTCTTAAGCTTCGAGGCGGAGCAGTTCGTGAAGCCGAAAAAGTGCAAGCGAAGCCTTGGAGAACTCTTGCTGCGGCCTGGCTTCCTTGACCTTTACTCGGGATCTCGAGGGGTTGCTCATGAAGCAGCCGACTTGACTGGCACCTGGGTTCTGACCTTTGATTACGGCAGGTCGGCTTCCGAAGACCTCTTGGACCCGAAGCTGCAAAGCGTTATACTTTGGCTGATTGAGGCTGGAGCTTTTCATGGTGGGGGCGCCGGACCGATCTGCTCGTCGTTCTCTCAGGCCATTCGACCTCCTGTCCGCAGCATAAAGTACCTACCCGTTGGGAATGCCAGAGGCCAGGAGCTCGATGTTGCAGCGGATCGCTGAAGGCAACAGCCATGCTCTGTTCTGCTCACTGGTTGCGAAGGCTTTTGACTCTCACGGCCTTCCTGTGTGGATCGAGAACCCCTATGGCAGCTACTTGTGGAAAACGCCGTGGTGGAGTGAGCTTGTTGTCGGCCCTGGGTCTGGCTCGAGCTGGGTGCTTGACTATTGCGCCTTTGGCTGTGCATGGAGGAAACGCACTCGGTTCTACGTCGGCAAGACAGGCGAGAACGCTGTGGTGCGCTGCCCTGGATGCAAAAACCACCGCCGTTTGAGCGGATACTCCACGCTTCACCGCTGCCAGTGGACGAAGGTCGCTGAAGCCTACCCGAAGCCCATCAACGTGCTCTTAGCCCGCCATATGGCTTCTCAGGTTCTTCCGCCTGCTGCTCGTCGGCGTCTGGATCCCTCGGCTTGTGCGAGATGTCTACAACTACGCATCGGTGAGGCAAAGAACCCTGGGCCACGAGGAGGTCGCCAAGAAGTTGCTTCGCTGGAGGATGTGCTCCTTGTCACTCCGGCTACGGCTCGCTTACAGAGCCGTGTGCTTGAGGAACTCGATGAATGGTTAAGCCAGAGCCTCAGCGACCCTGCCCGTAGGAGCCTTAGTTCGTGCGCCATGACTTTCTGCACCTTGCTGCGTGCTTTCGGCGACTACTTGTTTCGCAGCGGCGGACCTATGTACAAGTACCGCCATCTTTTGGCCTATATGCAGAAGAACCGACTGGAGCTGCGACCCTACCTACCGCTGGCTTGGGACCTGCTTACAAGGTGGGAGCGTGTTCAGCCGGTGAAACACAGAGTGCCGCTGCCCGAAGCGCTGTTCAAAGCCATGTTCACGATCGGGCTTCTCCGAGGCTGGGTGCACTGGTGCGCCGTTTTGGGCCTCGCCTTTTACGGTATAGCTCGGACAGGCGAGCCTTTGCGAGCCCGCCGACGTGACCTCCTCCTGCCCTCTGACTCTCTGTCGGAAATCAGTGTCGGGAGCTTCCTGGCCGTGCACTCTCCAAAGACCGCTTTTCGAAAAAGCGGGCGAGTGCAGCACATTTGCGTGAAAGATACCAGCTTCAACTTGTTTCTGGAACAGGTGTTTGGAAGCTCTGCCCAAGATGATTTTCTGTACGCGGGCTCAGCGTCTGCCTTTCGGAAGCGGTGGGACGAGGTACTCAAACAGCTGGAAGTTCCGTCGTCCTCGCAGCTCACCCCAGGAGGGCTGCGAGGAGGCGGGGCTGTTTTTGCGTATAAAAATGGCCTTGGCATCTCTGATCTGATGTGGAGGATGCGAGTTAAGCATGCCGGAACTTTGGAAAGCTACCTTCAGGAGGTGTCAGCCCTGTCAGTCCTCCCTAGCTTGCCATTGCGGACTCGCTCTTTGATCACGGCTGCTTGCGCTCTTTACCAGCCGGCAATTTCGGTTGCAGCTATTGGCAAATAGCGGTTACGCGCTCTCCGAGCTGCTCAGAGTGGCGGCGCACGCCGCTCCGCCGTTGTGGCCGCTGCAAACAGGTGGAAGTACGTTCAGCTGTGCTACGCCTTTCTTCTGAAACTGGACTCTCGAGTCTTACGTCAGCTTCGGGCCTTCGGTGTACATATGCTGCGCGGAGTTTTCTCTTCGACCTGTTGGGCAGAGGCTTGCTGAAAAAGCTGTTGACCGATGTCCGGGAAGGGATCGGAGTGAGGAGGCTGCATGATCCTTCATGCTGCGGACGAATGAAATCCCGCAGTTTCGTGGTCCCGCCCGCCCGCCCGGAAGTACGTTCAGCTGTGCTACGCCTTTCTTCTGAAACTGGACTCTCGAGTCTTACGTCAGCTTCGGGCCTTCGGTGTACATATGCTGCGCGGAGTTTTCTCTTCGACCTGTTGGGCAGAGGCTTGCTGAAAAAGCTGTTGACCGATGTCCGGGAAGGGATCGGAGTGAGGAGGCTGCATGTATTTTCTTGCTCTTGGTTGGCTTTCTGGCCTTCTAGCTTCACAGTCTTTGGGCTTGCGTGGATGTTTGCTCGCGGCTGGCGGGTGCAACTGCGCTGGCAGGTAGAATTAAGCAGGATTCTTTCGCTGCCAGGTGTGCACGGGGGTTGGGGCCCCCACCCAAAAGATGCCACTCCAGACCAAGCCATTTTCAAGATTGCCTGCATCTGCCCCCTGTTAGCGTGTTACTGCTCCTATCAGCTATCGGATAGTTAGGGTAGTATATAACGCTCATAGCAATAAACATCGAGTGAAGACATGCCACGTCGAATCAAATCGTTCAAGACTTACAGTGTGCTACACGGCGGGCAATATCGCGGCGGGATGTCTTCTGTTATAGCGGTGTTCAGGTTTGCATGGTTTGAGGCTGCCTGTGCCAAGCCGAGCCAACCATCATTTTGAAGAGTGACCTCGTCGATGTTCGTGCCATGGTACTCCGCAGTCGGAGGTTTTTCTGGTTTTGGACATACCAGCAGTAGGACTGAGCAATATTACTAGCAGCAATCATAGCAACACCATTCAGCCCGAGCTGAAGACACCAGGCCAAACCAAGCCGTTGACGACGGCACTGATGATAGTCATAGGAGCATGTCTTTTGGTTTGTCATCGTGCGAAGCTTTCGCTGATAAGTGGCACCCCGCTGAAGCCAAACCAGTCTCTAGGCCAAGCCAGGCCTCCACGCTGGGGGCCAGTATGCTTCCGCCCGCGCAACGCCATGGCGAAACAGCTAAAGACATGGAAACATCAATGTACATGCCGCAGCAAACGTATCAGATGGGCCACGTTCTGTTTCCGTCCTCCTCGAAGAACCCAACAGCATCAGCAGGGCGGCTTCGGGGCACTCGCTGACATCAGTAGTTGCGTTTGCTAGAAGACGGAGCCTGGTTTCTCTGCATCCAGTCTTTCTAAGGAGAGGCCTTGCAAGGCCTTGGTATACCTGCTCTGCTTGCATGGGCCGAGGCCGCGCCACGTCTCATTGAATCTTGTACATCAGCTCTCCATGCCTTCATGCTCCTGCGCACCTCAAATCGCAAGACATTGGTGCTAAGTGAACTAGGAATCTTGGCATGCTTGTTACAACGCTGGTACCGTGACCAAGAATTGCTTAATTGTAGTCGTTGGCATTGGACTTGAGCTTGACTTCCTACATTCCTCACACAGCTCAGATGAAAAGTACGATGGGACACAGTCCGCGGCAGGTTGCTTGTTGGAATGTGTGCCAGGACGATGCCGTGATACCCTTCGCCGAGCATGAGCTTTTGCTGCAGGAGTGCCGAGCGGTGCGTAGAGTCGGGAAAAACTCCGTCGGGGCTTCCGGATGCTTGGATTCCGCTTTTCGTGTTCCGTGTACTGGGAGCAGCTGTGGTACTATCATTGCTGAAAGGTGCAGTCGTGTCGACACTTCTCAAGACGGTGCTCCTTTGCAGGCTTTGAGGTGTGAGGATGCTCGCTCCATCTTCGTGCCGGTGCAGGCCAGTTGCGACTGTCGTGCTTTAAATAATCGTTTCCAGCTTCGCAGCTTCAAGCCGAAAGACAACGCAGAAGCCCTGGAAGCGGCTTCCTCCTGACGGCTTCCAGTGTATACTTCCAGGTCCTTTGGTCACGTGCCTTCCCGGCTTTGGGGCTGGAGTTCGTCACCGAGATTGATGGCTCTGCAGCCTTGAGGGCTTGGGGATTCAGAACACAGCGTCGGTCGTGTGCCTTTTAGTTTTGGCGCGGGAAAGGACGGAAGCAGGGAAGGATTCGCCCTCTTTCACTGGGCTTGAAGATCCGCTATCTTGTCCAAAAGCCCGTCCGTGCGTGATAAACTGCTATCCAGACCGGGTTCCCCGATCGGCAAAACTCCTATGCACAGACAGATGCCTACCTGGACAGACCTTCGGATTTCAGGGTTCGGAGAGTACCAAAGGGGTATTCAGGGTTTGGAGTTTCGAGCTTCGGAGCGTGTAGACTCCAGTAGAGATTTTAAGTTGTAGGGCTTGGATTTAGGGCTCGGCTTAGCGCAGGTGCTTTGTTGTGTTCTTTTTCCTGTCTTAGCATGCAGGTTGTGTTTTTCGGTCTTACTGTCGGTCATGTTAGGGTTTGGAGGGTGCAGGCTTTGGTGACTATTTTTCACAAGGATTCTTGTTGGGCTTTTGGGTTTCGAGCGTGTGCAGGCTTTGGTGCTTGAATTGGTGGGGCTTTGAGCGTGTAGGGTTTCCTTGTTTTGTGCGCTTTTGGAGCTTGAGGGTTTGAAGTGTATAGGCTTTGGTTTTCGCGGCTTTTCATGCGGCGGCTTCAGTGTCTTCAGGTTTCGGAGTTTTTGCTTATGTGGCTTCAGGGTTTAGAGCAGGTGGGCTTCAGTGTTGTTGGGCTTTCGGGCTTTGGTGTTACATTCTGCAGGCCCAGGCTTTTTTGTTTAGATGGCACGGAATGTGCAGGCTTTTGTGCGATGTTGCTTTAGGGTTTGGCTTGGTGTGTTCCGGTTTTAGGTTGGGGTTTGGTCTTTCAGGGTTGGAGCGTGCATTGTTCTTGCTGAGGCTTTAGGGTTTCACGGCCTGCAGAGTGTTTAGGTTGTAGCGATTAGTGTAGCAGTGTAGCGATTTTTGGGTTTCAGGTTTAATTGTGGGTTGGAGGTTTGGGCTAGAGCACGTCGACTTTACAATAGTGTTTTGAGGTCTATGGTTTTAGGTTTGGGGGTTTTGAGATTTTGAGCTTTCACTGTGTATGCTTTGGGACTTTGAAGTTCAAGACCTTTCGGATTTGGTGCGTTGGTGTGTAGGCCTTGCAGTACAGGGCATTGCGTTTGGAACTCTTGTCTAGGGTCTAGGCGTTCGTTGGAATTGCAGGTTCAGGGTGCTGCGGGGTGTTGTAGAGGTTGGCTGGTTGAGGTGGCCTGAGTCGGTACAGCTGGGGGTGTGTTAGGTATAAGTGTACTTACAACCTATTTACTAGGTCAGGTCCCTTGATTCTTGAAGTAGACCTTCAACTTGAGACTCTGTGGTCTTCCCCACCTGTCTGTCTTGTGTCCTTGTGTGCGTATCCTGCCGGGGTTAGGGTTTTGGAGGGTATTCCATGTCGTCCTGGCGTGCAGGTTGGTGGTCATCGAATTGACAAGATGGCAGGGGGCCCTGGGGAGCCCTGCCTTCAGGAATACCGCGCAACCTTAGATAGCAAGACGTGCTTTCGCAGGCAGAGTCAGACGAGCGCTTGGCCGCAAAGCTTGACGAGTGGCCAGATTTAGTTTTAGGTCCCCTTGCGTCCTTGCGACGTTGAGATGATGGGTTCTGCCAAGAAAAGGTGCGCCGTGACCATGCAAGCACACAAATGACGGCAGGCATGCGACACTTGCTGCTGCCCTAGTGTGCTTGACAAGCGAGGACGAGCGAGATCTCGGAGGACTCGTGCCGCACGCGATGAAGATGCCGACAGGAGCCTTGCTTAATGTTGCTATGAAAACCCCAGGTCAAGGGTTTAGGATACTGGCAAAGTGAAGCCGGTGTTAGCATTTTTCCGAGGAGTTCGCTGCGACTGGTGGAGGCCGAGCAAAGGCTCTGGGCCAAGGCACAGTTCAAGGTCTTTCTGCGAAGCAGGAAACTCCTATAATAACTTATGAGAGCACAAATCTTTACTTCCCTGCCCCTTGCAGGCTGCAGGCGATCAGGAGGCCGACGATAGGAGAGCAGCTCATGCATGGAGCTTGTTGTGGCCGGTCAGTTCTGTGCTGTGCAACTGTTGCTACAGCTGGAGGAACTGGCCAGGTACTGTAGGTCATGCATGCTAGCTGCCAGGCCGGTGCACGGACTTCCAGACGAAGGGAAGCGTCATTCTCAGAGACAGTGCATCACTGTGGCTTCTTGCACACGATAAAAGACGAGTAAGTCAGACAGGTGGCTATGCTTTTGTATTGCTTCAAGGAGTTGCCACCCTTGCGCCGTGGCAGAGCCAAAGCTTACGCAGAACCGCAAGCAGAGGCTTGGGGAACTAATGCCAGCAGCTCGAAGAGTCCGAACACTCGATCATCCTTCCTGCACCAAGCAACCTCGCTGGAGACTCACCCTCCGAAGGATCAGCCCAATTTCCAGCCGGCGAACCCATGTACATGAGCCAGCTGTGTGATTGTTCTTGTTCGAAGGCGCTTGGCCCTCCAACTCGCCAGCTTGCTCAGTCTGGTGGTGCTTCGTACGCTCGCGTAGAACACCATCCGTGCCTCTGTGCTGAGGCAGCGCACCGTCCAGGCTGCCTCGACGGGCGGACAGCAAGGACGAGTTCGTGGCAGCGAGCATCCTTTCCAGCGCTGTGCAAGTTTCAATCAGCCTTTCCGACTTTCCCTGTCGTCCAAGCGCTGTAAGTGTTTGATGGCCCTCATGTCTCGGGCCATTTGGACCAACACCTGTACAACCTCATGCTATACAGATATTACACTCGTGATGCTCTTGGGGGCGTGGGCGTTGCCCAACCTAATCCCGAGCAGCGTATGTGAAAACTTGAAAACCTCGAGCACATGCGATGTGAAGCAAAGTCGGGACCGCAGGATGCAGCTTACGAAGGCGGGCGGAAAGCTGCTGCCATCGCGTCTGTCCAACCTCTGTTGGGCACAGGGGATCCACTGACAAGAGCTCCAACGCGGGCACAGAGTTCAGCTCTCACCGAGGTCCACGCAGAAGGGAATGTGACATCAAACCATGCTAAGCATGCTAGCTTGTGATTTCTCGCCAGGAACGGCCGCCCCTGCCACGTGCAGGCAAAGCAAACAAAGGCGATGGCCATCATGCACATAAATATGTCGACACATGGGTGTGAACAAATGAATAAATGAATACATGAGAAGGTGAATATGTGAATGAATGAATATGTATGTATGTATGTATGTATGTATGTATTCATGTATGTATGTATGTATGTATGTATGTATGTATGTATGCGTATGTACATACACATATATCTCGATGTACATGTGTAATTATGTGTATATATGTACATATTACAATATGTACAGTATGTATGCAATATAGAGTGAGCCGTGTTGTGCATTGATCTAGATTTGGTATGCATGTCTGTACGTGTAGGCAAGGAGTCCGATGCCGAAGAATACGCTAGGCTTGTATGAAGTGCGACATCCAGCTGTGAAGTATGGTAGGCCATGCAGGTTTACAAATGCAGGTCGTGCGTCAGGTCGTGCATCAGTGCATCATGTGTGAGCGTTTCCTTCGTCTTCAGGCCTTCCACGGCCGCGGCTTGTTCGCAACGAGTGAAACCTGGACGTCGCTGGCAGATGTGTGTTGAGCTTGCGAAGGCCGAGTGATGGGCACTTGGGTGCTCGAGAAGCTCGAGGCCAGAGTTTCAGCCCGGAGCCCCGAGCCCAAGTTTTCTTCTGGGTTTCCGGAGGCAAGCCAGGCAATGGCCTCGCCCGTCCTGAGCGAGCCATGTCAAGCCGACATCGAAGCAGGCGCGCTCGCCACCCAACGCTTTCTGGGCTGCTCGACTCTGGGCCAGCGCAGGTCCATGCACCGGCCAACGAGGCGGCCTGCCTCTTCCAAAGGCTCGGCGCCCGGGTAAGGACAGTAAGGGCAAGCCTAAAGGCCCTAGCCGCACGTGGCTGGGTATGATGAGACCACGAGTCAAGACAGCTGGACCATGTGGGGCTGCTGTCTTGACGACGCTTGCCCAGATTGTAGCTCCGCTAACTGTCTAGAGACTTAACACGAGTGAGGTCGAAGGGGACGAACAGTGTCAGCAACCCCAGGTTTCTCAGAAGCACCCCGCGTATAGGCCAAAGCCTGGACAGAAGCTCTGATCAGGGAGTTTGATACGACGGGGACCGTCGTGACGAGCTGGGCCTGAGCACCGGGGCAAATCGATGAGGGCCTAAGGCTTAAGCGTGCCGTCGCCGAGACTTTGATGCCGGGTAGCAGAAGCACCGACAGAGCCTTGCTGAATCCAGGCGAGTGTCGGCCAAGGCCCTCAGAAGGCAATTTTGCTTGGGCACTCTTCCAGCCCCGCCTGGCGAAACTTCTCCGGGCTCGAATCCCGTTGAAGATCGACGCAAACACCGACAGTGAAAATTTTGCGGCGTCGCTGGTCAGTCATTTGGATAACATCGGCACGTCTTCGGTGATGTGCGAATGTAGACAGGCCGGATGGACACAACTCGGCGGCATGTGATGTATGTTGTGTCGCGTGCAGAAATTGCCAGGGCAGGCTTTGCAGATGCTGTAGGATCACGACTTGGGCTGATATTATCTTCCAGGGCCACGGCCACCATCGCGGGCTTGAGCATGTCCTTTTCGAAACAGCTCTCTTACGCCTCTCCTGACAGGAGAGCTTCACCAGGAAGCGCGTCGGCCTCCAAGTGCACGCAACGCCGCCGCCTCCCACGCCGCCCCGCCGTCCCGTGATCGAAGCAGAAGCCGTTGCCTCGGTTCTCGTGCTGCCTCGTGCGTCATTTTTGTAGAAAGTTGCGCCGGTTCGTGCGACCCCGTCTAAGGCTTTCGGAGCCACAAGTGGCCGGCATCAGGTGGAGAGATGAAGGACTCGTCCCTGGGTTCGCGTCGGGGACATTGGGGCGACTCTATCAGCTGTTCCATGATGCTGCGGAAAGCCATGTGCAGGTACTTCTGCCGAATCAGGTTGCAGAAGACCTTCATCAAGACGGGGTCCTGAAAGACATTGCCAGCAAATCGAAGGCAGCGTTGCGACGCTGAAGCCTAGACTCTAGACTCTCTAGGCTCTATAGACTCCAGGAAGTCTCCAAGACTCTAGACTGTTGAGAGCTGTAAACATCCCTGTATATAGAACTCAGCAGTGTTTTAAAGATACGTTGCGCCCTTGGTGTTCTGGTCACTTGTCCAAAAGGCGTCCGTGGACCTGATGGAAGCTGTGGGCGAGTTCTGTCCCGAGATCTAACCAGCTTTCCCGGCTCTTTCGGCTTGCGGCTTTCGTCCGGGAAGGCTGCACCAGTTCGTTGAAGGGCACCGGCTGCTCATCATCCGTGGGCAAACAGGAAGCGAGCTTCAGGCAGCCGGCCTCTTAGCACTTCTTGGCAGTCGCCCGTTGCCCTTCCTGTGCTTCTGCTTATGCCAATACCACGCAGAGTTTTCTGAGGCAGTGGAAGACTTGCTCGGCAAGGCACCTTGGCACCGGGTCCTAGGCTTGTGCCATTTGCGCTTCTCAGCCATGCCTCCTGCACGCAGGCAAGATTGAACGGTCGAGCTCACGGTCCAGGCCACAAATTGTTTCCGCGGCATGCATGACGCTTGTCGAAGATGGCTTTGTGATGTACCCTCGGCTACAAGTGTACAGTTGCCTGACAGGCGGCTCGAAGCTGAAAATCCTCCTTCCTAGGCCGGTCTGCAGTGTCAGTGTCGTTCCAGAAGCTTTGCTGGAGCCTCGAAGAAAGTAGGCACCTCGCTGCCGTGGTCATTGGCAGAAGAGGGGCGAACATCAAGGATATCTCCCAACAGCAGCCTAGAGTCATCTAGAGTCTCAAATGGCAGAAGGCCTGCCATGCCTTTCTGCATGGTTGGTCAGGACCTTCAAAGAACAACCGGCACCAGCGTCCAGGCGAGCCGCTAGGTTGGCTTTTGCGCCTGTGTTGCTGCATAGCTGCATGTTTCTGCAGGTGGAGAATGGCTCAACGGGAATGGATCGGGTGCGGTACACAGCGACGGGACGACCTGTCTGGAACTAGCTTTTGAACTTGACGGCATTTTGAGGTGGCCACGGTGTGTGGATCTCCCGCAGCCATTTTGAATGCATTGGGGAGGCGGGTGTCGGGTGCCTGTCTTGCCGCGCTGCTGCCGTTGGTGACTGTGCGACACAGGATCCACAGCTTTGGGACGGAGGACGAGGCCAGGACCCAGGGATTTAAGGTGTGGGGGACTGTGTTTTCCGCATCGAAACTCAGGAAGGAGCTGGCTCCGACGGGCCCGACAGCCACGACCGCCCTTACGGCGGCGACAATCCTTTCCATCGTCCCGGTGAGCATTCCGGTCTTTATCGCCACGATGGGCCCGACGGCCATAGCCGTCATGGTGTCGATGACCCTGACGGCAACCAAGCTGAGAGGGATGGGCGCCCTCGCTCGGACGAGGCGTGCCATCTGACAGATAGCAGCAGTTGCGGCCTGCAGAGCATGGTGCCACGATGCTGCCCAGGAGGAAGAATCGTTGGAGGATGGCAGGCACTCATCGGACTGTATCGGGCTGTCAGTTGTCCTTCTCACGGCCATACAGTGGGAGCATGACGCTACCGACTCAACGGCATCGCCCCTGTAGGTACTCATGATCATGATGTCGCTGATGGTTTCAACGGCATGAGAGCTGCAGGAGAGCTACAGCACTTAGAAGGAGCAGGAGGAGGAGGATGAGGCTGATGCCAACGACGACAAAGACGACGACAAGAGAAAGAAGGGTGATGGTGTCGATGTCGATGGCGGCTGCATTGATTGTGGTGTATTGTGGTCGTGGTGGTGCCGCCGTTGTCGCGAGTGGAGATGCGGTTGAGGCAGGCGGAGGCGGGCTGCAGGCTGTGGCTGGGTGCCGGCGGTTGGTGTGGGATTGGCGGTGCCAACAGGCTGACGAATCCTTGCTGAATCAAGGGAGTTGTGCTTGAAAAGTGGCAGGCGGAAGAAGAGAAAGCCACCTCCAAAGCCGGCAGCTCCATGGGAAGTCCGAGAGCACCCAGAGGCTTGGGATGGATCGGGTGCTGCTTCGGTTGGGGTGAAAAGAAGCTTCCGAAGGCTCCAGGAGAGTTCTACTACCTGAACATGGCCACCTCCTCGGTGAAGCGTCTGTGCCTGCAGCAGAGCACGTTCGCGACGAACCTCAGGAAACGGGCGACACGACCTGGGAAAGGCCGGCCGGGAACGCCCCTGGCCTTGAGAAGAGAGGCAAAGACAAGCAGCAAGAGACAGGGAGCTTTTTGTTTGTTTGCCGGATTCGCCATGTCTTTGTGCTCTGAGGATGCCAAGCCGTCCGCGCCTCCTCCATGGCGAGTTCTTGAGCATCCGGAGGCGAACCCTGCAGTGGTGGCACTCCGCGCATAGCACATGTCAGCTTTTTCACAACATGTTGTGTCACTCTGGGAATTCGGAGGCACCAGGAGAGTTCTACTATCTGAACGAGGCCACGTGGAGATGTTGGTAGAACACCACGTTGATCACTTTATGCCCTTGAGAAGCCGGAGGACACCGGTGAGACCTGCTGGGATTTGCCAGAAGGTGTAGCGACCTAAATGCAACGATTGTCAAAAAGGGAAACATCTTCTGAAGCTGCATGCCACTGGCAAGTTTCTTGTTGTTCCGACTTGTGCTGGTGGTAACATCGGGCTCAGAGGAGGTGATACTTTTGAAGAGGACATGCTCAGAAGTGTCCAAGAAGCGTTGTCTTTCGCAAGGGTAAGTTGTAAGTACATTGTTAGTCCCTTTTCAAGATGTGCTCGTAGCCATGGCCATGCCCTCCACTAGCGGATCGCTGGTAAAGCCAGTTCCAAGGTAAGGAGAGTCGGGTCTGCAGAGTGAATCCTGCAGCGCTGTTGGCTGAAGGCATGCAGCCAAGCGGCGTTGGCTCGAATATCCCTCCTCCTTGGGCTGAGGCCGCTGTGGTCTGAGCGAGTCGCGACCCGACAGCTGCGATTGCAAGGTTGCTTTATCGATTTATGAGCTGCACGGCACATCCGCTCTGAACTTGCTCACCAGAGCAGCAGACATGGGAGGCTGTTCAGAGCCGCGTGCCTTGTTTTCTTTTGCTTCTCAGTTTCTACATCCACTCTGTTTCTGCAGGCGCTTACCATGTTGGTGTTGAGGCCATGCCCTGCAGTTGGATTGAGCGCTCGTGATGACAAAGATCCAAGACCATAGGTCTACTGGCTCGAATGGTCTTTCGGATGGTGCGAAGAGGGAAGCGGCGTTTACATGGTTGCGGACTCAAAATTTGCGAGAAAGGCGCCAAGTGGGACCTCGAAAGTCTTTTGTGAGGTCTTTCCCGGGCAAAGTACCCTTGGTACCTTTCGTGAGCGAGTTCCGCTGGGAAGAACACCGCTTTCGCCAGATGAGGCCTTCGACCCAGCTGTATCATCTCGCAGTCACCGCGAACACGGGCACGTCACATCTCCAGGTTTTTCGCGTCCTTGACAAAATGCGGCCGGGGACCAAGGGAAGATAGTTGGCCTCTCGGCCAAGATACGAGCCTTCGCTTTGGCGTGGGCCGTTTATCTGGGTTCGCAGGCAGGAGCTGCCCGGCTCCAACTATGACCTGTTACGTCTGCGTCTCGGCTAGTGGAATGCTGTTGTGCAAATGTTATGCATGAATTTGTAAATGGTGCACCATCTAGTTTGGTGCTCACATGGTCCATGTGACGTTCTCGTATTCTGAAGCCTTCGCACGATTCACGTGGATAGTTGCATTCGGCTGATGCGCTATATGTTGGTCCTGCAAGCTCCATAAACTCAGCGGGTGCAGCAATCAATTAGCCCTGCGACCTCAAGATACCTCAAACACAGAGCAACCAGTGCGACACACATAATGACACCCCTGCAACAACTTCAGAAGTATGCTGGGTGCAGCGAGCTTGCTGCATGTTGTGGAAAGTCACCGAACTTCGAAGCAACAATCTTACACTTTAAGTTACACTGAGAGGCCGCATGTCGTGCCAAACGGGCGAGCTTGAGTAGGTGGCTGAGAAGCCAAGCAGAAGGACATATTCGATGGCTCTCAGCGTTTTCTCATCCGAGCGAAGTATACAGAAGTCCCAGCATTCTTTAGGTCAGTGCTATCGAGATCTGTGGAGGGTTGAACAACAGTGTGGCCGATGCCTTGAGAAAGTGGACGGGGATAGTCAACACAACATCAGGTTCCCAGCACTGTTAGGGCTGGCCCCTTCTCAAGTGGACACCACTAAAGGCACTATAGCTGTAGTGGCATTGATTCGTCTCCTGTCAGCTGTAACCCTGTTCGGGAGGCCTCGCAGCCTGCCCTGCAGACAGGTTTTCGTTCTTGAGTTGTGCGGAACAGAAGGGCGCTCCGCTTAGCCGCTGAGGCTGTAACTGTGCGCACTTCAGCGTCTCCTTCGTCAAGCGATTGCGAGTCAGCGAGGCGCCTCGGCTTGTGCTATCCGTGCGCGATGTGATTTTCTGCTCTGTGCGAGGCACCTTCCTGGGTAAATTCTTTGGCGAACGTCGGCGAGCACCTGGTTGGACAGCTCGGAATGGCAGGCAGCTGCGGCCATCAAAGTATCACAGAGCGCCATTCTTCCCCATCGCTCAGGTGCTCAGGCAGCGGCTGCAGCGGCAACCCCTGCCGAGTCGCCGTGGGCCAAGACATGATGAGTGGATTGAGTTCTATCTGCATATTGTGATCTGTGCTCAATCCACAAGCGAACTTCCACAAACGTCGACTGTCGATGAACCGCTCGAACTCTAACGGAATACGAGGGGGGAGTGGTGCTGTGCTTAGGGCTTAGGGGCTCCACCGACTTGGGAACAGGAACAGACTCCGCAGGAACAGATAACCAGACGATTGCTGAACACACGGGAAACTTTTTCATCGTGGGGAAGCCAGCAGTTTGGAGCTTGTGCAAGCTCTACATTCTACAGCCGGTGATGTAGGGAAGAAGCACACGAACAGGTTGTTCGGAAAAGACATGTGGTCCGCCTAGCATGTCAGCTTGCAGACATGGTCTCTTGAGTCAGCCGCAGCAATGGCGGGATAGTTCGGCGGATATTAGGGGAGACATGTTGAGACTCGAACAACCTCAGACCCCCCGACTGCTGTCGCAGATCGCATGGCATCTTGTCAATCAGGCGACTCAACTCGCTTTTCCAAGTCGATGCGGATGTTAGGTGTTGACCCTGCTGATGTCCGGGTGCTATTCGAGAGACTTCTGTCGCAAATCCGACACGTGCTATTCGTGCTGAGGGACCGAGTGGCCCCCAGATACGTGCATTTTGGCGTGGCTCCCAGCCCCAACTGTGGCCAGCCGAGATCCTGGCTTCACCCAAATGTGCAGGTGATGACGAGGAGCTCGAGGATCTTGCGGGGGATGGTGATGATCAGGCAATGCGGGAACTTGCCTGGCGGCGTGCCCAGGCCGGCGATGTCCGATGCCTTGCCACCAAACTTGGGACATGCCAGCACGCCGCGATTGACGAAGGCCTTCGTTTCCGACAAGCTGGCAGAAGCTGAGAGGGACGCCCGCTTGCTGGACTTGGCCATGGAGCTCAAGTGGGGCGAGCCTAGCATGTAGAACAAGGACTTCAGAGTTGTTTCATCCGACCTGGTTTTCGAATGTACATTGCAAGTTGCATGCCAGCTCCGACCACGGAAGACGTGGAACAGACGGCAGCGAGAGTCTCCGAAGTGCTGCAGGACCCCAGGCGCGTCTTGTCCAATCGTTTCCGAAAGTGACACAACCTACCGGGTCTGGAAAAGTCGCGATGGGAACTGAATTCGTGTGGCAGCATGTTCTAAAATGACATCATAGAAATGCGTGTTACGGACTGCTAGTGACACATCTCAAGCATGAAGCTTGAGCCTTCTTCAGGCTGATGCAAGCACTAGCAGAGGTCGGGCTGCCTAAAGCATACAACGCAGTGAAAGTTTTGTTTGTGAGTGTGCACGCGCAGGCCTCAGCTGCTGGGTTTGGCCTGCCTTGCCCGTTCCTCCGAGAGCAGGAGGTAGCTTCGCATTGCGATTCCCTTCCAACCTTGAGCGCCTGCCTCCAACTTCTGCAATTTTTTGGATGTCAGCGTTGCTTTTTTTGTGAGGCAGGCTGGTCACTTCTCGGAGACGATTCTGAAGAAGAGCTCGAGGAACCTTGCTTATCAACCCTGCGTGCGTGGGTCGGGGGTTCATTCGTCCCAAGTGACATTGCAGAATTGGCACCAAAGGAGGACGGCTGCTGCGGGAATCTGGAGGTGTTGACCTGAGCTGAGATCACTTGGAGCAGCACCGGACCCAAACGGTGTGCTTTTATGAGGTCCGAAAGCTGCTGAAGGGCCAGGGACGGCTGGTCACTGTCAGAGTACGTCTTCGTGGTACGGCCCTGACCGAGAAGGCGCACCATGGGCACCAGGGGTGCGTTTCCAGTGCGAGCATGGCCGGCTCAGGGAGCTGCGCCGCCATGGCGCGGTGTGAACTTCCGCGAGGCCCTCCGTCTGGCCGTGGCACCCAAGCGAGGCCCAGCTCGCTTGCCCTTTGCGAGCGTAAACGGCTTCGGCGGCTGGAAATAGCCTGTGTCTCCAGGACTTTCGATCCGTTGGCCGGCGAAGCGCTGGCATGAATTCATGGACGTGCTTTGTTTGATGTGGCCGTGGCGTAATGCAGAGTGCGGACATTGACGAGATCTGTGTGCATGGTGCTTGTGCGCTTTCTCTTTCAGGCATCGTGGTATTTGGTATAGGTGATGTGGAAAACATTCTGCGTGCAGTGGGTTCTTCGGTGCTGGCTCTGTTTTGTACACTCCTGAAGAATGGTGCTTGTACTTATACCGCCGTGCTCGTTTTGCGAATCTATCTCTCCGCTCCGGCCATAGTCCTGCAGGCCGGGGAACAACAGCCCTGAAGAATTTGTAGCATTCCTCCATAAAATAGTTCACAAAGGCTTGCACATGCAACACCTCCCGACAGCACAGCACTTTGTGCATGGGGCCATATGGGGCCCACGTACCGAACTATGAGGGCGATGACAGTATTTTCTGCATGTTGGAGTCGCCCCATCCTTCGGCCTGAGTGTTTAGTCTTGCCAGGGGGATGCCACAGATCATCGCCAACATGGAGATTGTCACTGCTCCCGACCAAGCTTTGACCTCAGCGGATGGCTTATGAAGAGTTCGACATTGAGATGCCGCAGATGCCACGCTTTTCAAGCTTTGCAGGCCCTCTTCGGATCCAGGGTTGAGACGAGCTGCGGACCCTACGGTGGCAAGGCCTTGGGAGAGGCTTAGGAAGCGGTTCCATCGCCACGATTCATGGAGAGGTGCTGCATGCCCAAGTGCGTCCAACTGCGACGGGAGCCTCGAAGCTCGCGGCCAAGAGGCAGGGCTGATGCCGGCACTCTGGGAGCCAGATCTTCTGCTCTTGTAACCCGGAGAGTCAGTGGCGCAGGTTTATCGAATATGTAGTCTGTTGAAGCGCGGTTCCAAAACCCACCATGCAGCATTGCCGTACTAGTGCCGTACTACTTGTACTACGTACTACCACTGTACTGCTATCGTATTGTGACTGTACTACCAGTGCACTGCTACGGTACTACCACTGTACTGCTGCTGTGCCACTACTGTACTCCCACTGTACTACACGCATCTACACGCGCTGAGTTACTACTGTTGTCCTACTGTGCTCCTACTGCACTCCTGGAGGGCGGCAGCGGCACCAGTTCCGCCTCGGCGCCTTGAAGGGAGCGGGGAACTCCAGCGGTGGCAACAGGAACAGCGGCAACCTCGGCACTCGGGCGAGCGAACTCCGACCGCGCAAAAACACGTGCAACCCAGGCAGGAGCTTTGGAATGCTCAGCTCGGATCTCAGAACTCAGCGGCTCCAGCGGCTCGTGCCCAGATTTCGGCAGCATCAGAGGCGCGAGCAAATGCCACGATGGAGGTGGCAAGTCCAGCAGCTCCAGGTGCACCGTCTGCAATTGGGTGGAGGGCGTGGAAGCGTCGCAGTCATCGGATTACACCTGTCCAGGTGGCTGGATTTGAAGTTGAAGTAGGTTCGTTGCCTTGCTCAGAGGTGAAGCCACGGGCAGTGCCTGCAGAGAGGCTTGGATCGTTGCGGCTTTTCGCGGAATCATGGTGCATGATCCTGCTTTTCTTCAATTCGACACTGGCTGGAGTTGAGGCACCGCTTGGGCCCTCAAGATCTACGTTTGTTGGACGTCGAGCCAGGTGGGGAGAAGGTGCAGGGAACGTTTGGTCTCTGGAGCCGGGCAGCCAAATCTGGCAAAGACTGCAAATTCCTTTCGTTGCACGCAGGTGCAAGAGTCGCTTCTGAGACTGCAAAAGATTCAGCAGTTAGACCGCATGAGACGTGCTGCGCGGCAAACTCAGCTTCTTGCTGCAACAGCGGTGCCGCCGCATGTGCCTCTCGCAGACTAGACCGCCAGCAAGAGTCAGAGTCTTGACTCCGCCTACACATGGTGTAGATTGCAGGCATTTGGCGCCACATCGACCGTGAAAGCTTGCTAATGCCTGCAAGTTGCAATCTCCGAGAGACTTGTGGCCTGCATTGCGCACGGATCTGTACAGGTGCAAACGCCGTGCATTTCCAGTTTCTGTGAATGACTTGGCCCAGTGTCCAAGGCAAGGTAGCTTTCTGACACGCGAGGCTTGCATGCTTCTTAGGAGCAGCAAAGGCTTTGCCGTCACACAGTGCCAATCGTTCGGCCTTTAGCCTTCAGCTGCAATCACCGGAGACGTGGCGTGTACTCCGCTTCCATGCTGGTGCACGGATGGCTCAAACGCACTGACAGTTTTTTCCCCGCCCTACCGAACAGGCCGGCTGCAACTGCCTCGCGGAATTTGGCAGTCCTGTCCACGTGTTGTGCACGTCGGCGCAGCCGCATCAGGTCTTGCGAATCGTTAAAAGTGCCAGTGAAGTCTCATTGTATCTCATTGTGTTAACTAAATAAACCGTGTAGCTGCTAAAACCTGTAAAGCGGTATGGGCATGTATGGGCTGCTGCAAAATTCTCAAACTTTAATTGCTTCTACCTGTGCAGCTGCGACTTTGTAAATCCTTACAATTCATCAATTAATTTCTTCTGTGCCATGGGAAGATGCAACCGCGGAAGCCGGCAACCTCGCGTACACGGTGTGCAGGGGGCACATGGCATGGGGAAGCACGGTCAGGCTTCCCACTGTTGCACTCGTGCAGGCCGGTCAACCACGGCCATTTCTGCTCTTATCAAGGTGCTGCTCGTGTTCTCCGCTGCGGTGTCTGCCATTCTAGCTCTGCAAAATCGAGCAGGTTGGAGTGCAAGCAGCAGCTTGACCAGATGTGGAGCTTGTTCTCTGCGTTTCTGTGCAAGGATGCGGCTGGGTTATGCAAAGAGCACGTGCAGAGCTCGCGGAACACAGCAGAAGAGCGTCGGTGGTCGTCACAGATGTGGCTGGGACCTGAGGCAGCTGCAGCGCGTTGCAGCGCACCGTGTTTTTTTTCATGGCCTCTCGCTAGGATGGGACTCTGATGAATTCATCCAATCAGCTGCCCACCGCAAACTGCGAGGCAAGACTTTAAAACGGACTACTTGCTTTCTGTTTAGGCGGCTGGTGCCAGGCCCTTCGTCGTTGCGTGCGACAGGGTGTTCCAATCATCTTGGCAACTGGCAAGCATCGCGGCCCCTGGGTTCGTCGTTTGCTCGATCAGGTGCCAACTGCCAAGCTTCGAAGCATTTACGTCCTGAAACGTTTGAGACGCCGTTGCGCAGGTCGCTGATCCAAGTGTTCAAGCCGCATCCTGAGGTCTGAGGTATCATGGTGTGGACTGGTGACTAGTTACGAGGTACATGGAGCAACCTGTGTCCTTGCGACGAGGCCTTGTCCGAGTGGACGCTGAACGCACCTGGAGTCTTCGTGCAAGGATTGCGTGTGTGCGATTCTGCAGGGCAGGTCGGCATGTCATGGGACTTCACGTGTTGCGTAACCGTGTCTCTGAAGCAGTGTTAGCCGATTAAAATGGGTCTGCAGGTTGTGGTCGCCAATGTGCTGCCGGCCAGTGTGTTTCATGCTTGTGCTCGACTGGCAGAGCAAAAAGCGTGGACACTGTTGGCTTACACCGAGTCTTGCTTCAACACGTTGCGGGGTTGAGCGATGTTGACCGGGCATTGCTATGGCATTGCCCCAGCCTTCAGGATTCCGACAGGATCATCAGCAGCCGGGATGCAGGAAGAGCCGCCAGGAAATTGACTTCGAACGCTTAGCCCAGGCAATCGAGCAAGCCCTCTGATCCAAGCCATCAACGCACTCGGCGAACCACCTGCGACCTGGCTCAGACACAAACGGTCAGACGGAGAATTCACGGCGCCTGGTGACCTTTCTAAGATTCGGAGGTGGAGGTTGGCGCCGTGGACGAAAAGACCGGAATTCACAAACTTCTCTTTCTCGGGGACCCTTCGATGGAAAAGGCCGGATGATCCGACTGCAGTTTCTGTCCGCATATCTCTTTCCCTTTTTGCACTTTGATCCGCCGGCCTGTCCACGAGTGCTTCAGAGCACCTGTCGGAGAGCTTCCTGCATGTGCTTGCAAGCATGGCAAGCCTGATGGGGTGTGAAGACCTTGCGCTGATCCACAAAGTGCCCGAAGCTTTCGTGTCTGTTCAGTGGTCCGGATGGCTGTGAAGCAGGCTGTCAGGGTTGAGGTGGAAGCGACGATCGGTTCAGAGGCGATTTGTCAGTGTTTTTTTGGACGGCTGCACATTGCGACCGGCAACGTCGCAGGCATCTCTCACGGTCGCCATAGCAGGCATGGTGGAGGTCTTGCCGAAGGGGATTTGCAAGGCCGATGGTGTCAGGCCAGGACATCAATGTGGAAATGAAGTCATCTGCATGCCTTGCAGAAACATGTGCAGGCAAGCTTTGAAACTTCTGGATGCTGATCCAAGCGATGTCCTTGCGCAGGGGCCGTAGCCGTCCAGTCATTTCGATCCGGATGCAGGCCTTGCTTCACAGCCTGCCAGGTTGGGGGATGGCGAGAATGATGTTGAGATGCTTCGCGAGATACGTGGCTCGTCCAAAGTCTGTACCGCGCGTAGCTTGACGTAAGAACTTGGCTATGAAGATGCCAGGCAAAGCATTGGCTGTGTGTGTCATTCTGGCATGAGGTCGCTGCGGTGGCATATCAGCAGCCGTGCAGAATGCACGGCCGGCTTTAAAAGAGGCGCAGCTGATGTCGTCGCGACTGCACTCTGCAGGTCTCGCTTGCCGTGTTGCCAGGCGGCCGAGTACACGGTCGCTTCCTGTGATGAGGTGCTTCTGCAAGTCCAGTACGTGTTATCGAACACAGCTTTCCCTTCTGTTTGCGCTGGATTTGGCGGAGAGCCATGCTGGGTTGATTGACAGTTTCAGAATGCCTGACAGGCTGGCTGGGCTGAAGCAGTAGACCGATGGGTACCGCATGTGGCGTGAAAGAAAAGTGCCGTGATTGTTGTTGCGTTGTGCACTTACCATTAGGGTTGGCAGGTCCGATGTCCTCATCTGTGAATCCTGTGAGATTTGGTCTCCGAAATCTGACAGGCTTCATGCATTGGTCGCTGCAGCTCTGCGGACTGATTGTCACTGTGACCGCTTTCCAGGACAGAAGTCTGCTAACCTGCACACTCAGCCACTGCAGTTGCAAGGGGACAAACAGTTGCTCCTGGGACTCCTGTCTTCCGGTTCTTAGTCTTAGTGCACAATGTATCAGTTTGAGGAGGCATGTGACGACGATGCCGCTCTTCTGCAGCTTCCACGAGGACCACCGATAAATGATCTAGTTTCTGATCCAGCACCATGCTCTCTCAAGACGCAGTGGGCAAGCTGCTTCAGGACTGCCTTCGACCGGATCAAAGGTCTCATGGCCGAGTCAGAACTTGCTTCCGCTAGGCGGCCTGCTCATGTTTCCTCGCATCAAAAGCCTAATGCAAAGGATGCAGACGCGCCCATGCATCACGCCGGTCTCCAGAACGCTTCCCGGCAACGACTAAAACAGTCGGCAGCATAGGTGAACTGCGGGGTGACGCAGTGAGGTGAGCCATCCAGAAGTGTCCGCGTTCGACGCATCCAGTTCCATTGGTGGCATGCACTCAGCTCAAGTTGACGAGGCTCAGGCTGTATTCCCTGTGCCGCCACAGGGCGAGCTCAGGCACCACTGGACCACAGCCAAGGTGCTGCTCGAAGCAGCCGCATCGCTTGACATCCTCGCCCAGCCACAGCTTGTTTTCTGCCTCGCGACGGCAATCTGCAGCTTAGTGCTGGTTGGAGAGTTGGCATCTTTTCAAGGGTTCGAGCACAGTCGCTTCTTCTCCTCTCTACTGGCTGCTATGAGCCTTGTTGGCACCAACCTGGCCGAACATGCCAATCTGCGAGCTGGCATAGGTGTCCTGGATCTGATCTATGCCCGATTCGTCATGCTCGCGTTTACAGGTGTCCTGCTCGTCAGGTTCCACCCGCGCAAACCCGCCGCGCTTCCAGGGAATCCTGAGCAAGCCATTCAAATGTTGCTGGGTACTTTCTCTGTCAGCGCCAGCTCTATGCTCCTCTGTGGTGGTGTGCATTTGGCACCTGGAACATTTGTCCTGTCGGGACTGGCAACTCTGTCAAGCTTCGGCGCCGTGTTGAAGCAGTGTATTCTTAGGGAGCAGATCGAGTGGGACGAGAGCTTGTCTTCTGTCGGACTCCTGCTGTCCGTGCTGCCAATGCTGAGTGCTGCTGCTCACAGCAGCCAGGCTACCCTTCTCGGCATAGTCTTGGGGCTACTAGCTGCCATAACACTGGCGACGTCTGCCTTGGTGCAACGCAATCTGTGTGGAACAGTGCATCATACGGTTCTTCTGACTTGGTCAGGTGGAGTAGGGCTCATCATGTTCAGTCCCGTGGCCCTCATCTTCCCCGAAGAAGCTCGCGTTTTGTGGACCTTGGACTGGCCACACTTCGCCAGCATGTTCTTGTATGGTTCCCTGAGCTTGGCGTCCACTACCCTTCTACTGAAGGTGGCGAACAGCTCCTTGGGAATAAAGGCAGAGGCAAGCTATGTGTTATTTGCTGGGATTGCTGCTGGTTGTCAGTACCTATCAGACATTGTACTGCTTCACAACGCCTTCCCTTTTGTGGTGCAAACAAGCTTCGCGCTCGTAGCTACATTTCTTACATTTTCTTATCTTGTATCCTGCAGACAAATTATTAGGGTAGAGGAGTGTATGAGCATGGCGGGCAGTCTTCAGTTTGAACCGCAGCGATTCAGCCAAAGGCTATCGCAACAGGCGGAAAACGACATGTAGTTATTGTAGCAACTGGCAGCTCATGCCAGCGTGCTCAGGAACACGTGTTTTTTTTTATGATTGCAAACTCTTGAGGGATGAAGATGAAGTTTTCTCCTTCATCGTCTGGACAGAGCAAAACGTAACTCCTTCCCGTGGGCTATTTCTCGAGGGTTGAGCAGTTTTCAAGCGCACCAGGCGTTCGCGTAACAGGCGCGCTATGAATGTTTTAAACAATCGCCACCAGCCAGTGGCCAAAGGGGGTGGTGCCGCAAAAATCTGCGCACGAATGGCAGAGCCCGCAGTGGCTGCGATGGTGAGGAAATCAGAATTATGTGCGATGTCTGGGGTGCCGCAAGGCTGGCCGCCTAAGGCACTGGCGACTGGAGTTGGATTGTACTCTAGTCCGTGCTTGAGTGCCTGGTGTGGATCCTTCTCGGACTGAAGCTAGCATTGTTGACGAACCTGCCGGAACAGGAACAGCCGTAATGAGATGTCTTGATGTCTTGCTCTTGCAGAGACTTGCGACATCTTGCGACGCTAGAAACTCACATTTGCGAGCTGTTTCTGAAGCTCTGGTTCCAGCTTGTGTTGATTCCACGTTCGACTTGGAATTGCGGCAATGGGCTCATGGCCACCATCCAGAACACGGTGAATGCCCACCCAAGGACATGGGCGCACTGTGGCTGGAACTCGCATGCCAACAGATGCCACCGGCCTTACTCGAAGCACATCTTGCTGAAGGTGGCTGTCGCTTCTCTCCCTTCGCTCCTCAGATTGCGAACGGGTCAAAGGCACTGTAGGGGCAGAAGTGTGAGAACTCGCGCAATCCATGGTCTGCGAATGCGACTTCCTCCCGGAGCCACAGTTTACTTGACAGGCCGAGTTCGTTCCGAGAGTTTGCACGACAAAAGTGATCCTCACTCTTCTTTGAGGTGAAACGAAACGCAATGGGCAGTAACTGTGGCGAACATGCTGTCGAGGCGTGGCGCAAGAGCTTGAAGGAGAACCATGTGAAGTTCTGAGCTTCGACAGATCTGGGAGGCAATAGTCGGATTTTCCTGTTCTCGACACGCTTTGTAAATCCACTCGTTATCTCGTTTGTGCCTAGCAGGTTTCCATTGTTTGCATTTGGCAGGTGGCTGGTTCGCTTTTTGCATCCGCGCTTTCGCGAGCGTACAGCTCTTGTCCCTGAGCAGTGCTTGCTGTTCGGGTACTGCATCCAGCCCCATGGCAAGGTGATAGCTTTGAAGCAGCAGTAGAGATAAGTACCGACGCACGGAGAAGAGACTTTGAGCGTATTGATTTCGCTACAGGCCTGAGCACGCCACGAGTCCAGCATCAAAGCTGTCGACTGCCGCTTTCGTGCTGGTGGATACGCCTCGAGCAGGAAGGGGCTTGGAGGTCGTGGAGGCCATGGCGGCTGGCAGCTCGTTGTTCAAGGAGCGGGGGCAGGAATCCCGAGTCTTCGGCTGGAAACGCATGTCTGGCGCTGGGAGAAGGTTTCACTCGACACTGGTGGGGTTCGGCAGCCGGCTTCGGTCTCCAAATCGCAAGCAGGGAGAGTTGAGTTACCAGTCCGGCAGTCTTTGCATCGGATGTTGGCCGCACGTTGGGCAGCACGCCCAGACAACTGTCATGGCTTCGCCTCTAGCTTCCTGTGTGCAGGAGATGCCGTTCCTTGTGACAGCGAATGACGTCAATGAAGTTTGCAGAGCTCATCTCAAGATGCGTGCTGCAGCGGGAAAGGATGCTTCCCAAGGTTCTCTGACAGCAGTCTGACAGCTTGGACCGCATCGTCGTGTTGTCACTAGTTTGGGAGCAAAGGTAAGGCGCTCGAAGCCTTCGCAACTCTTACTGCTGGCGGCTTCGATGCGGAGGCCTTGGCGAGAGTGCAGGCCGGACGATGCCGGCTTTGTGGCTTTGTGGCGTGGCTTTGTGGCTTTTCCCTGTGGGTGTTTGATGTGCAAAGCTTTTGTCATGGGGAGTGGCTGGGTTCGTTGTCGCCAGGCTCAGGCCAGCGAAGTTTGGGAGGCGGGCCGCCACGGGTCGAACGTGGAATCGAAGTCATCGTTGGATGTCTTTTGCTTTTGTGGACGTCGCCACGTCGCCAAGGCTATGAACTTTGGACGGTCAGAACGGCCGGATGCCGCGGAGATTCGGAATCTGACAGCGGTTCTGCTACGTTGGGAGGCCAACCGCAGCGTGACTGCAAATGGTGCAGTGCAGCGACTTCTGAGACAACCCTGCGGCTGTGTAAGCGAAGTTGCCTTCCGATTCCTTGCAAGTTTCGAGGTTTTCTACAAAGGCAGTCCAGCATGGACACCTCGAGTCAAGCGAGGGCCGAGCCTGACCTCTACGCAGTTTTCTCTCTCGCTCCGTGACTGACAACGCCTATGCATGCTTGCGCCATCTTGCACCTCTTTCTGCGAAGCCTTGTTGAAGCGAGGTCAGCCTCTTGAACCACTCATGTGCTCCGACTGTTCGGCTGCGCCAAGTCTTTGAGCCTTTGCAGCCAGGATCACAAGTGCAGCCGGACTGAATCAGTGGGTATGGCTCTTGACACTCGTTGTGCTTCCTTTTCCTTCGGTTGAGGGTTTGGGGTCAAGGGTCATGTGACTACAAATCCATCGGCAAGGCCCGACGACGGAGCTTGCGTGGTACAGGCTGTTCGGGACCTCCGGCCAGGAGATGACTCTCAGCGGCAGAAACAGAGAGGGTTGAGAGATACTGAAAGTCGTTTGCGAGTCCATGTCCGGTATCCGAGCCATGCAGAGAAACTGTTGTTTGCATCGCCCCCGAGCCACAGGCATTAGTGCTGAATTACGGGATGCCAGAGTTGCTCCAGTGGCCTGTGGAGCAACGGCGTGAGTTGCAAATCGGCACTTGGTGCTCTGCGAGATGTATGCCTCATAGGATCGCGCAAGGAAGTAGCGCGACTTGAGGTATTTGCTTCGAAACAATGGCTTCTGCTGCCAGTGCCCGCGCTGTCGATCAGAAGCCGGAGAAGACATTGGCAGCGGAGAGTCATCCAAAACAAGCGTCACAGTGACTTTAGTGGTTGCAACTGTTGTGCCTTCGGCAAGGTCTCATCGAAATGGGCTCGCGAGCAGCTTCAGAGCTCTTAATGCTATGAGGAACCCATCCAGGTCCAGTACTGCCATAGTAAATGCGAGACTGTGCTAGTAGCTGGTTTTCTAACCCTACTCACTCTCATAAGACAGCTAGATATAGCTAGATGCTGAGCACACGTTGCAGATGGAGTGTTCCGTTTGCGTGGAACTCAGTATAATCCAGTCATATGTGGCCAAAGCTGCAAAGTGCACCGCTTTGTTGAAAGCCGGCCGTGATCCGCAGTTCCAAGGTTTGCAAGACTACGCGCTGCCCAGCCGTGTGCCACAGGCATTGATCCCTGAGCACTGTGGCCATGAACTTCAGTCTGCAATGCCGCGGCATGAGGTGCTGAACTGTGGGCATACCTTCTGCAGCAGCTGCTTAGAGCAGGCTCCTATGTAAGAATATTCAATCCATTCTCGCTTGGAGCACGCTGAAATGTTCCGGACCGGTGCAGCTTACACAGCCGGCCCTGAGGTTGCAAATGCTGGAAGATTCAGGTGTCCAACTTGTCGAGAGGCTCGCATTTGCAAAAAGTGTGCGAAGAGAACAGTGAGGCTGTGCATTGTCAGGAGAGCTCCGCAACTGAGATACGCGTCAATTTCGCCTTGCGAGACGCGCTCGTTGGAAAGGAGGCGCCTTTGGAGAATCTCGTCATTGTCATAGCTCTTCGAGGACATTGCGCTTGCCTCTGCCAGTCCCCGTCGACAGCGGCTGCAGCTCGAATCATCGAGGTGGCCCGCTGTTGAATGTAGCCGCCGAGCCTAGCTCTTCAGTAGTGCGGGTGCAGTTCGAGACTGTGTGCTTGCTTTGCCGGAGTAGCCTGCAATGTGCTAGTTTGCAGGCAGAAGCCATCGACCCTCCGACTGAAGATGAGGAGACCGTGACTTTGCGCCCCTTAGCTTGTTAAACGTTGATCATGAGGAGCCCGAGGACATCCTAGGACAAAGATGTTGGGTTTGATAGGAACGGCAGATTCGCCACTTAATCTCATCCAACGAGCGCTCGTCCGAGCAACTTTGCAAGAGCATCAGCATGTGAAGCAAGCGCCACTATGAAGGGAAAGCAGGAGTTTGTAGAGAACCCTTTCTACATGGTGCATGTGTGCCCGAATAGCTAAGGGGTGGAGGCAACTGGTGCCTGGCCCTCAAACAGATGCCTGCATTCCGGTCAAGATCAGATCTGAAGATGGACGCTACGAAAGGCAGCGGATGAGATGCTGATCTCCATCGTCTTGACCTCAGAGAACCTGGACGAAGCTGTCAGCTGGAAGGCAACGGAAGCTTTGCGTGGTCAAGGTTCCACCATTGGGCAGTGTCCGAACGCCATCGGACATTTGTTGCGTTGTCGACGCCTGTGCCTTACGGAAGCTTAACTCATTGTGAACCATGGCACTGTGCCCGCAAGCATCGGTGCAGTGGAGTCGCTTGCGCGTCGATCCTTTTGCGTGGCCTTAGGTGTCCACATCCATGGCAGCTGAGGCAGCTTGACACTGCATTTGCTGCACGATAAGTTATCGCTGCTTGCGGCTTGCGCAGACCCGGAGACCCAGTCTTTCGCTTAGCACTGGATCTGGGCCTGTCAAGAGGCCATGCTGGCAGATGGTGCTGGTGTGTCGGTCAGCTGGCTGCTGAGGTCTTCGTGCCGTAAAAACATGTAGCAAGTTCCAGGTTCAAAATCATGTCCACGAACTGAGGTCATGGGCTTGCCCTCATGGACATAGTCAAGCACGCGCTCCGGACGCGTGCCCGCTGTCTTGTTTGTCTGCCTTCACGTGGTCGATGTCGAGTGCTGCAAGGACAGTGATCCATCTGCTAAACGGCCGAGATAGGCTGGCTTTGGTAGCCTACAGCAATACAGCCGGGCGCACAGCGAAGATTGCCACTGCGCGGACCGCAACGCCGCAACAAGCTTGCACGAGGCAAGCGTCATCCTAGAGCTGACGCCCATGACTCCAGAGGTATCCCTCAGTGTTTTGGCATTGCAAGCTGCTGTGTGCCCTTCCTGACATGTCGCAGGGTCAGCAACGAGCCGAGCTGCGACTGCACCAGCTGTCTGCCTGGCACGGATTCGGTGGCATGGCATGCGCACGAACACACCAAGCACTGTTGATGGAGTCATTGAAAACACTTCGCAATGCCAGACTGCCCGATGGCATGACCAACATCTGGGTTCTGCCCTCACCGATGGCATGACGAATGTGATTAAGTTCAGAGCATAAAAGTCAGCATCATGGATCAAATCAGCGAGGCCGGGCTCGAAGCAGGTGGGATCCCAATCTAGCTCTGTCGAACTTGGTTTCTTCACTCGCACAGGCATACAGCTCCTCGCAACTGCGTCGGACGGCATGAGGCGCATGTCTTGGTTTTTCAGGAACGTACCACGCTATTCTCTCGTAGACCTTCGAAATTGTGAGGCTGCAACATTTGCTACTGCTGACGGATGGGGTAAAGACCCCGGCGCGCAATGTCAAGTCAAGGACACATTGGGTTAGAAGCTGCGAAGTCCGCTTGCTGAGATCCCGAACATCAATCCACCTCGTGGCATTGCTTGCGACCCCGGTCCAATTTGCGAGCAGTGCTGCCATCAGAGTTTGCCCCAAATCACAAGTTGTTCTCAGAGGTGCCAATGCTCAAGAGACTCAAAGAAAAGAGTGGAGGAAGGCATTATACGTGAGTCGCCTGGGCTTTCTTCGCTTTTGTGTGCGCCTTCGGGTTGCAGGCTTCCGTGCAGCGTGAACACCTTTGGCTTCGGCTATGAGTTGGACACCACGAGCCGCAAGAGTGGAGTTCTTGTCGCGGGCCTCTGCAGTTTCCTTTGACAGGACAGTGAGTTGCTTCATGAGCTGGCACGGCTCGGTTCTGCCTCCTATGCGTTGGGCTTGGAACCGGAGTCCCATCGACGCACCACGAGAGGCGCAAGTCTGCCGAGGCCTTCATACCCGACGCCGGCTTCGTGGGCACAGTCTTCGTGAATGCACTTCGCCTGCACCTGCAACCACCAAAGAGCCCTGTCAAAGTCTGATGTCCAGCCCGGCAGGCTGTTACGAACTTGTTGGTGACCATGGGGGCCAACCCTGTGCAAGGATCTCAAGCCTTTTGCACTCGATGAAGGGCTGCTTTCTCCGCATCTCGATAGGGTCGAGCAAAGACGGATCTCTCTTCTCATTGCCGCTTGTGACCGCGGAGTCATTGTCAGCCTCCTGCAATTTCAGCACCAGCCTTCGTATTGTACGCACCCCTTATATAAGCTTGTTTGGTGCGAGCTGACTTGTGGAAGCGGCCAAATCTTTTGACAGAGAATCGCTGGCAAGAGGCTGAAGCTGACTGCCGGCAGTGGTATGTGCCTGCAAAGCGGCCGCTTGCTCAGTTGGCAGGACATGTCTCGTGTTCAGTGAAGAGTGAAGGCAAGACGCAGTTCAGTCCAGACCGGTCAGGTGATGTTCCTGGTGGCTTGGACGTCAAGCCAGCCGCTGGTGGCTTGCAGGCCGGCCGGGACGCGGGGAGGCGGGAGGGGGGAGTTTGAAAGTTGGAAAGCCTGGCAGAGGTGGATCTTTCCGGACTGCAGCCTGGCACCAAGGGTCCAGTGCAACACTTGCACAGCAGAAGTACGGCCGTTCCCACTCAGATTTGGCCAGTCTCGGCATATCCTCCTGCGTCCATCTGCGACTTCAGACGCACATGGCTTCCTTCTCGGCACATCAACTTCAAATTCAACATTTGAGGAGTCTTCAGACATGGGTCTAAGGCACCATATCGCTGACACTGGAGTACGACACGCGCAGCCGAGCTAGACGCGGCGTGTCGCTGTCATGCATGTGTCAGCCTCAGCGCATTCGCGGGTCAACTCAATGCGACTGTCCTCTTGATTTACTGTTGCACTTTTTTTGTTCGAGGTTTGCGGTTCCTTCGAACCCTCAGTTAGGTACCGTTGAATAAAAGTTCGCACAAGCCGCTCTGAGCAATTTCAACCCAGTACCGTACAGAATCTTGGGCACATAGAGCATAACATAACTACCTCCGCCAAGTGGTAGCATGCGGACAAAGCAGCCCAGCCGCGCGCAGAAGCACTGATCTGGCTGGGCTTGCAAGCTGCAAACTGCACGTGGAAACGGTCTGAGGCTTTGTGACCTGCTTCCGGCGGCAGAAGGCATCGCTCAGTTCCGTGGCTGCAAAGGCGGAGATGTGTTGAGCCAGCTTGGAATTGAGATCGCGAACAGGAAGTCCCGAGTCCTACTTGTGGACGGTGTGAGGATGGATCCCTTGGCTGCATTTTCTTCAGCTGGTGCTGTAGCCGTTGCTTTGGCCGATTGGTGAGTGACTGCTCACAACACAGTACGAGTTTGCAGCAAAGTAGAGGGTGTGATTTGTCACGGACATGCGTACATGTGCTTCTGTGTCTTGGTTAGGATTCACGCCAACTTTGTCTCACTACGCAGCTTGACAGCTCAAGACCGACTTTGCGTCAGGTCCAGCAAAAGGTCCGCTAGCACCTGGGGGTTCTAGTGCTGCCTTTCCGCTGAGCGTCAAACTTACGGTTTTAATCTCTGATCATCCTTGCTTTGCCTGCTGCCTTGCTTTTATCTACGATTGGTTGCCTTGGGCTTTGTGACCGAGAGTTGAGTGGAATCCTCCGCTTTTCACAGGTTATCAGCCGTAGGGCCTCCGCATCCGATTGCGGATTGCTGCTTCGCTGCTGCTGCTTGGCACTCGGACCGCCTGATCCAATCAGCGTCCGATCACTACCGTTTTCCTGGCTCAGACCAAGTTCGGAACTTGTGATTGGCCGCGCCACCGAGAGAATGGCGACTCCGATCGGTTCTCCCCGTGTCCCCTCGACTGTCGGTTCTTCACTAGTGACGCCAGTTGCTCGGGATGTCGTGGAGCCCGATGATAGTGCCCACGCATCTCGCTGCACTGCGCCCGCCTCGCACGCTTCGCTCGCTCGCTCTGCTTCGCTGCTTGCTTCGCCGCCTGCTGAGGACGATCAGAGAGCTCAGCACCATGCGCCGCCTTTGCCATGCTCTGCTGCTGCTGCTTTCGCAACGCCTGGCACGATGCCCGCCGGCATGCTGCCTGCTTCTGCCACTGCTCGTGCTTTGCCTTTGTTGCCTGCCTTTTCTGCGTCCGCTGCTCCTGCTGCTTCCGCACACTCCTCTTCCGACCGATCTTTCAGCTTGTCCTCTGTCCCTTCGCGGGGATCCAGAGGGCGCTCGGGCCCTTTTTGGGTCCGGGCCGGACGGCCGTGGTCCACCGATTTCGGACCCGGCGTCCTTCCGCCCACCGCGCCCCGATTCCTATGGGCCGGTGGCTGGCCGCGGTGGAGCCTCGCTCCCCGATGAGCCCATGAGCGAGCATCCGGGTGCACCCCATGATTCCGTCGCAACGATTACCGCGGCGGGTCATGGTGGTGCCGCCCCCGCCATCGATAACGGCGGGTGGCATACCGGACCCTGTGCTGTCAGGGCCCTGGTCGATGAAGCCATTGGGTCGGAAGCATCCGCGCGCATCGCCACCGATATTCTGGCGATCGCGCAGGGTGTGACCAACACCCAAGCCGACCTCGATATACTGAGGAACGGCGTCTCGGATATCACCGAAGCGCTTGAGAGCAAGATCCGAGACATGTGGGAGCTTCTTCAGGCCGAATTGAGGAAAGAGCGTGAGCTGTTCATGCAGTTTCAGGACTCTTTCCGCGAGAGGCGGATTTCTGATCACGAGACGCTTGAAGATCATTTTGCGAAGCTCACCTCGACGATCAATGATCGACTTATTGAGTTCGATGAGCGGATCCATCAGTTCAACGAAAAGCGTGCTGGATCGCTATCCATGCAGCTTGCCGAGACGATCCGCCACATCAAGCAGTACCCAGACGCGCTGCGGCAGATTCAGATCAATATCTCTAATGCCGAAGCGCGCGTTGCTGCTGTGGAGCAGAATGCTACTCACCGCATCGAAGTCATCAGATCCGAGATGAGTCGCGCTCTCTACGATCATAAGGAGAGTAACCGAGCTCATATCGATCAGCTGACTGCTCGAATCCAGCACCTCGAGAACGCTCATGTCCGCAGAGGCGGTTCTGATAGATCGACGCCTTCGCGTCCAGAACGAACGCAGTTCTTCGATATCAGTGACCATGGTGGGGATATTCCACGCCCTGCGGACCTGCCGCCAGTTCCAGGTGCTCTATTCCCTGGCGGACCGACTACGGCCATTCCGAGGTCTTCCCTGTTGGGTCCGATCGATCATGGCTCTCCGCCGGGATGCAATGCTGCGCCTGCTGAAAAGGCCTCAACGGTTCACTCTCAGACGAGTGGAATCAATCTCGATGAAATTCTGAGGCGAGCGCAGCAACGAGTCGCTGACGAACAACCTGCCGAAAGTCGTGGGCAAAATAATCCTGTTGAGCCCATCCGACATGATTTTGGTCAAACGTCGGCGTTTTTTTCAGGAAGATCGCCGAATCAGGCCGTTCCTTCCGCAAATGCCGCCGGAGCGACTTCCGGTCAGACTCCGAGCCTCAGGCCATTTCAAGTCGATGATGCTCCTCGCGCTGACATCCGACACGTCCCTGAAGCCCGGAGCTTCGCTCCTGAGCCCAGGTCAAGCCCGACCTTCCCATGCCAAATCTCCCATGACACTCGAACTGTCCCGGCAGGGAAGGGACCGTCACGATGGTATGATGCGATGCTTGGCCGATCGAATCTCATTGGCAACGGTGCTGGCGCACCAATTCTCCATAGTGAGACCGGTACTTTTACCCTTGCGCCGAACACGAGCGTTACTGCGACGCTTCAGCATGATGCGGCCAATGATGCCATGCCCCCGATGCCCACCTTCAGTGCCAGAACGTCCATTCCTGCACCCAGTGCCGCGCCATCCGGATTTGGTGGACCGCCTCCCGCGTATAACGGAGGCGGCGGTTATTCTGGTGGTGATGGCCCCAACGATAATGGGGGTGCATATGGCGGTGGCTTCGGAGGACATGGGCACCACGGGTCCGGTTTGGTCCCGGTGGCGGTGGTGGCCCACCCGACGGCCCACCTGGTGGTCCGCCTGGTGGTGGTGGCCCTCCTGACGGGAGTGGTCCGCCCGATGGCGGCCTTGATCCGCCCAGCATCAGGCCCTCCGGTCGGCCGAGTGGGAACGATACGTTCCAGTGCGAGCGTTGCACCGGAACTTTCCCGACCATCGTGCGACGGTCGTGCATCTCTTGCCGATTCTCGTGTTGCAACGGATGTTGCCGAGATCCTTTGAGAATCTGTCTCGTGTGTCTTGAGAGACAGACTGGGAATCCACCTGGTCCCAACGATTCGGGATTCGGTGGACCCAAGGGCGATGGATCACTGAGCGAGGCCAAGAAGGCGAAGTGCAAGTCCTTTCGTCTCGATCCTGAGCCGGAGCCTGCTCAGTTGCGACGCTGGATCGTCGATATGAAAGAGCGAGTCGCGAATGCATTCGCCTACGATCCCGGATACGCACTCTCATGGGTTGAGATTCCCGATGGTACGCGATATGAGGATCTCCTCGATGAGTGCAAGTACGGAATGCTTGAAAATGAATGCAACTCTGCGTTCCGTGAGTGCGTCCGATCCATTGCACTGAAGAATAAGATCCAGACCGAGACCGAGCGCATGCATACGATAAACCGGCGACTCGGAAGTAGGCAGATCTTGTGGCTATTGTACGATTTCCTTCGACCACATGTCACCGGCGATTCAACTTTCAAGCTCGTTGACCTGATGAAGACCACGATTGATCGGTTTACTCATGGATCCGAGCAGGAAAGGTTAGAAGCCTTCTCCAATCGGTGGGATCATGTTCTCGCTGGTATCTCAGTCGATCGCCCCGAGGATCCTGTTCTCTGCGCTCTCTTTTATGAGCAGGTGCGTGAGTTCCGCTGTCTCGAGCTCGACATGCAGCTATGGGACAGGGACGTATCCGTACGGAACTACGCATACTTGCGAACCGTCTGCGTCAATGCGATTACAACTTGGCGCCGACGACGCAATCAGGAGAAGATGTACACCGCTACGAGGTCTACTTCTGCGCAGAGACGATACGCTGCACCTGCGCACGGCAGCCCGCGCAGATCTTCATCCCGAGGTCAAAGGGGGTCAAGATCGCCTGGGCGTCGTGACTCCAGAAAGGGGAGTCCGTACCGAAGGAGCTCGCCGAGGCGCTCGTCACCCAGACGATCCTCCCCGCGACGCGGATCGCCAAGACGATATTCCCGCAGTCCGGGACGAGCAGCTCCCGCACCGACTCGCCCAATGTCGCGATCCCCGCGAGGACGGGAAATCTGCTACGATTTCAAGAAAGGCAGATGCACGCGAGGAAGCGGATGCAAGTTCTCCCATAACCTGAAGGGAAGAAGCTCCTCGCCGAAGGGTTTCCCGCCTCGATCGCAATCACCGATTTCAAAGGAGTCTGGTATTTGCTTCTACTTTGCACGAGGCACTTGCTCGAGAGGAGACAAGTGTCCTTATAAGCATGTGAAGCCGGGTGCCCCAGCTGAGAGCACCCCTGCTGCCGCTCCTGCGCCTGCTGAGCCCGCGCGTCAAGGCGGGTTGACAGCCCGGCGCCCACGCCCTCGGATTTTTGAGAGGGGCGTGCCGCAACCCTCAGGCAATGACAGCATCCTCCTATGGAGACTTCGCCTTCGCTTGCGTTGCATCATTCGATATGGCATGTCCGTCAGTCAAGCGGAAGACAGTGTCGTTTGGGAATACTGAGACCCGCGTGATAGAGTCTTCTTTCCCGGAGCCAAACTTCGGTCCCGTCAATCGCGAGAGGAATTTGAACTATTCGTGGCCGGAAGATATCCGTGGTCTGAATAGTGCTCGCGAGAGGCGAAGGGCGCACATGAAGGCTGTGCTTTGGAGAGAGCAGGTTTTGCTCGATGACGTTGATGCCAAAACGCTAGGTAATGATGCTTGTGTTCTTGAGCTCACGCTTTCTCAGCGGAGCGCTTGCGAGGTCTTTGCTGCTGCTGTCAAGTCTATTAAGAGGGTCCGGAGACTAATGCTCGACTCCGGGTGCGGTATAGACCTTATTGGTCTCGGTGATCTGTCCCGCGAAGAAAGGGACCTGATAGTTCAGAATGCTAAGATCAGCCTTAGGACCGCCAATGGGAAAACTAACACCAAAGGTGTTGCCCATATGCGCATTGACGGCCTCGATGAGCTGATTGAAGCTTATGTGCTGGAGAGCACACCAAGTCTTCTTTCCCTAGGGAAACGATGCAAGGAGCTTGGTTACCGATTTATCTGGGAACCCTTTTGTGATCCGATATTCTTTGATCCCAAAGGGAGACAACTCAAGATTGATGTTATCAATAACATCCCCTACCTCGCTCCGAGCGAAACCGAGGTAGTCGCGGGTCGACCTGATCTCCCTCGTGTGTATCCGGCACTCCCAGCACCGATCATTATTCACGAGAAAATCGTGGCTGCGGGTGAAGAACCTGTGGGCGAGCTAGACGACATTGGTGAGCTCGATCTTGATATGCCTGGTGCTAAGAGTGCCCAGAAAAGTGCACCTGACGATATCAAGAAGGTGCCTAACAAGCCTAAGCATCAGTCGCCGCCCGATGAACCGAGAGCGCGCGATCTGAGGGAGGAGGCTAAGTCCATCCGTCACCTTATGACCCATTTACCTAAGAATCCCTACTGCGATGCATGCCAACGTGCAAAGATGGAAAACGTTAAATCGTTTCGCCAAGACTCACCACGCGATAAAGGGTTTGAGAAATTTGGCGAGCAAGTCACCATCGATACTATGGTGTTGCACGGGCTTGGCAATCGTGGGAATAATGGGGAAACAGATGCTGTTGTCTTCTATGATCTAGCGACCGAGTGGTTAGAGAGTGTTCCCGTCAAGGGGAGGACGAATGCCGACACGCTTCGAGCGTTCCAGCAGGTCTTCGGCGACCTTCAAGATGTGAACTCGTTCTCCATGGATGTGGAGAGAAGGTATGCACCGTCTGCGATCCGGGAAATCTACTGTGATAAAGCCCGTGAGTTCATATCGACCTGCAAAAGAGTCGGCATCTCTGTCAAACATTCCACTCCTGGCATGCCTCGCACTAATGCCATTGCCGAGAGCAAGGTGAAGCTTGTCCTTCATGGCGCACAAGTGGCGCTTCGACAAGCGGGACTGAGCGCCAAATTCTGGCCTTATGCGTGCAAGCACTTTTGTCATGCTCGCAACATCGAGTTACGCGAAGGACAAAGTGCGTATTCGCTACGATTTAATGGTGCCGAATTTGACGGTCAGGTTCTCCCATTCGGATGTCTTGTAGACTTCTATCCCACGCCGGCACGAAAACAAACCCGACGTAGTCAGAAAGATGAAGTCGTACTCGGCGATGGTGAGGAATATGCCGTACCTGCGCCTGGAGATGATGGATTGGTCGAAGTCGAAGTTGGATTCGGTGATGATGGTTATCTCGAGTGGATCGACGATGGAGACGACGATCGACCTGGATCCCTCCAAGGACCAGACATGGATCAACGCCTATCGTCCTACCAGCGCCCCAGCAAATTCTCTCCCACGAGCAAACCCGGTGTGTTTCTGGGTTACCACTTCGAGAATGGGGGCAGGTGGGATGGTGACTATATAGTCGCCGACCTTGAAGATTTCAAACGCGACGCACTGCGTGCGAGCGTCCATCAGGTCAAGAAGCTATACTGCTCACCCAAGGAGCGATGGACATTTCCGATGCTGGCTGTATACGATAAACAGACACGATCAGTGTGCATCAACGATCCCGCGATGCATTCTAATGTGCCTAAGCCAAGTGAGCGTCTTGACGCCTCCGACATGCTCGATCTCGAAGATATCGATGAAATCTTCGCCCTTGATGAGTCAACGCGAATGACCGATGATGATATTCGCCAAGCTCGCGAGGCTGAGTTACGAGCAGAGTCCTCTCATGGAGGAGGTGTTGACTACTGGGAGTATGACCCATCTGTGCATAAATGGACGTATCACGTCGTTGTTCCAAGGAAAGCGATGGTTCATCCCAGTAAGACTCCCGGTTCCGTTGGGGAGTCGCCTGATCCATGGAAGCTGAGCACGGTGCGTATATCACATGTTCAATACAAGGACAAAAGCCCGGTTACGATCTATGAGACCGGGTATGCCTTCGGCAAAACAAGACTCATGCAGCTCTGGACCGGCAATGTCGAATTTTATGATGACGGCTATGCCCCACCCAAGAAGAAGTTACCTCCTTACCACGGGTCGGAGATCCTGGAAGGCGAGGGGGGTTTGCCTTATCGTCAGAGTGTGCCGCGTTCCGAGCGGGCATATAAAGGGTCTCGAAAACCGAACTCTATCGATTCAGAATCCTGGCGCAGTATGAACCGCGCCGAACGGGAGGGATATGTAGAGGCTGAGCGCCGAGAAGCTGAGTCTCATGCCATGTCCCGAGAGGATTCTCGCGATGCTGCTCCTGTCGACATCGCTTACGATTCTGAATATGAGTCGGGTGCCGAACGGCATGACAAGGATTACTGGTATCACGATGTCGCAGCTGGCACGATCACCCGATTTCATGTGATCGAACGCCGAGCGCGCTTCAACCCTACCTCCGTCAAAGATTGTCCCGTTGATCCTGCAACATTGACCGATGTCAGGATGACTATGGCCATGACTGACGGTACCGAGTTCACGTTGCAGGACTCATGGAGATCATCCGACACTCGGTCTCTGCCGTGTCGATGGACGGGAAAGACGGTCTTCGTTATCGGTTCTTCCGCCAAAACGCAGATTAAAGTTCGAACCCGTATGCCGAACGCCGATGACACGGGGCGCCGCGTGCAGACTGCGAATGGCTACTATGGACACGCATTGCGTGCAAAGGGCCGTACTGTCGTACCTGCCAAATCTCGCGCCTGTGTCGTTACGGATCTTGAGTTTGAGCCCCCGGGTGGTATGTCCGCCCGTCTTCAGCCGCTTCGCGGCAGTGGCCTCGATGTTTGCCCGGCCATGTACACATACAATGAAGGGGCAACTCAGTGAGGTGTTGACGTCCTTAATCCTACCGACTACGATATTATAGTCGAGCCCGGACAAGACGTTGCTGTGGTTCAGTTTTACACTTCCGTTCTGGCAGCGGTTGAACTCGACTTCACCGCAGAAGACGTGGAATGTGATGTTTATGCACCGGTTGAACCATCCGATGATGGCCACGCTGTTGATACAGCACCTGCAATGCCTGTTCGCCTAGTGCTGGCCCTTTATGGGCATCCGGATGCCGGTGGTTTCTGGGAACAGCATTGTGAGAAGGCTCTTCGATCAGTTGGGTTCGAGCAGTGTCCCGACTGGAAGAGTGTATTTCGTCATCCCAAACTTAATCTTATGCTCGTGGTCTACGTCGATGATTTTAAGCTCAGTGGACCAAAGGCCAATCTGGCAAAAGGGTGGGAGCTCATGGCATCGCAGATTAAATTGGAGCCGCCCTCGAGCATCAAACGTTACTTGGGATGCGAGCATGTTACCTTCTCCCACGTTGTCCCTAGTGCCTTTGATCCGCGCTCCTATTGGACGCGCTTCGAGGAACCCAAGAAGGCGTTTCCCGAGCTGACGTTTGGTGATCGCGACACCAGTGTCGCGCAGGGCTCTGTTGGTCCTCGAGAAATTCGCATGATCAAATACGATATGCGATCGTTCATGGAACAATGTGTTTCTCGCTATGTTGAGCTCTGTGGCCCTAAGTATAAGGCCACCTTGCGGTCGGCTGATACGCCATTCCTCGATGAATCACGACCGGAATTCGATACCAATCCGGATCGACCTGCTGTGAACCGCTTATTGGGCCATCCCGCTGACACGCCTGTGCCTCCTGGTAAGGGCGTTCTCGGCGACTGTGCAGCCGCCGTTCTGATGAAAATTCTATATGGTGCTCGCATGGGGCGGTACGATTTAATCCGTCCTGTGCAGGCACTTGCCAGTCTCATCACCAAGTGGGATGGCTTGTGTGATAAGAAACTCCATCGACTGGTGTGCTATATCAACTCTACCCTCGATCTCAACTTGTATGGGTGGATTGGTGATGCACCCGAGATGCTGGAGCTTGTGCTCTACTGCGATGCCGATCTTGCGGGTGACCGTACTGATTCCAAGAGCACCTCTGGTGTCTTTATGTGTCTTCTTGGACCGCGTAGCTTTATGCCTCTTAATGCTTTGTCCAAGAAGCAAACTTCTGTGTCGAAGTCTACCCCCGAGGCCGAAATTGTATCTCTTGACCACGCTGTGTATAAATTGGGCCTGCCTGCTCTGTCTATGTGGGAGTATATGTTGGGCCGCCGTTTCCGCTTGCGGGTCATGGAGGACAATGAGGCCGCTATTCGTGTCGTTATCACTGGTCACAATCCGAACATGCGTCACATGTCTCGTACCCAGCGTATCGATATCTCTGCGTTGAACGAGCGTTATCACGCTGGGGATTTTCTGTTCGTGACGTGTCCCTCTCAATTCGAGGCTGGTGATATTCTGACCAAGGCCTGCACTGATGCTAAGGTGTGGGGCCGCAACCTTATGTCTATTGGTCATTTTCGTAAGGGTACTCTTATTTCCTCCGGTATGCTGTCTGCCGCTCCCGCTCTCCCTGCTCTCCCCTCTGTCTGTCCAACCAGGGGGGTACATCTTGAAACCGGTCATACCCCCTTCAACGATTTCATCCTTGACATGTCTCGTCAGGGGGGTGTTTCGATCGATGATGCTCACCAATTCGGAGCAGCAGTAAAATGTATTCATATCGGAGGCGAAGGCATAATCCGATTCCCTCATGCTCGAAGTATCAATCTCAGTCTCGATGATAATGCAAAAGGGATTGCTATTTCGAACATCAGGGTCCCGCCTACGCCTGCGGTATGTATTGTCACTGTTCCGATTGCTGGCACCGCTAACAAAAGAGAAGCTGGTTTCAAGAACAGGGGTTGGAAAGAAATGAGGGGCGACCTAAAGGAAAAAGGATGGGAAGCCAAGAAATTACTCGGGTATGCTTCCGCTGCCCGCTCATCCGGAATCCCTGTGTTTCTTGTGCTGCCGAAGGGAAACCCGTTGTGGGGTAGGGAGTATATACGACGATGGTCTGAGTCGCACGAGCTGTGCCCTGTTAAACTGTGCTCGTGCTCCTCTGGTCGATGTTCCCAGCATGCATGGATGTGTGAGATTTTCATGCCTGCCCGTTTTGGGCCCATCTTCATGTCACGATTTGCATGCAATCACAAGAAGGTCAAAAGGGCCGACCCGAAGGAGCTTCGACTTGCATTGTGGACTGTGCTTGAACATTTCATGAATTCTGCAATCTTTGGCTCACAGCAATCCGCGTAGCCGATTGCTTAAACAAAGACGCCAAGGCCATGTTCACACACACACACACACTTGCACACTTACACTTGACACAACTTGGTAAGGAGCTCTAGGGAAGATGATCATAGATCACCTTCATCAACCGACCATCACAGACCACCTCTACTACGACCCAGTCTATAGCCCACTTGCGCTCCCTGCTAGGACAGGTTGTAGCTGCCACGGGCTGCGAACTTCCCCGCGCTGCCGCCGCTGCTGATCGATGGGAGGAAAGAACAAGCAGCCACCGAAGAAGGCTGCTGCCAAGACACCGGCTGCCCGATCACCCCAGCCGAAGTCTCCCTCGCTATGCAGGGAAGGCCTTCCGAGCGGTGCGATCGCACCGACTACGGAAAGGCCTCCTGTTCCGCCGATTCCCACGGAGCAGGATGATTCCAACATGGGTACCGATGAAGCCCCTGTCCCGATTCAGACCCCGAGAGATGAGTCCACAGGGGGTGGAAAGCGCTCCGAGGACATTCCGATAGGATTGAGGATGAAGATGATGATGCTGAAGATTGGGATTCAAGAGATCCCACAGGCCTCAATCTGGCAACGCCTCGAGCAGCTGACATGCAACTCTGGGTACGATCTCAAGCTGCACCAGCTGGTTGACTCCTTCCTTCTCACTACTCATCCGCTTGCGGATAAGCAGAGGAAGCAGTACCCCCAAGAGTTTATGGACTTCATCGACCGATACAGGGTGATGTGCGCTCTTGCATTTTCCCGAGTGGCGACGTTGTCTGGTGACGCCGCGGGGGTCCGCGAGAAAATGGACCTTACGATGGCGCTGGCTCGCCACTGTATGCTTTTCCAAGCGCAAAGCTTTAAGGGGTCCCGAGATATGCTGAGTAACGATACGCTCCAGCTCATGGGAACCTGCTACATCCCGTCGCCTCTTGCGAGCTGGAACCGAAATCTCATGGGATATAGCAGTTCGACTGCTGAACAGCGATGGTTGAGGACCGATACGAGTATCAAACACAACGACCTCACCAAGCTGTCGCCCATTGAGTTGTCAAGGGAGGCGGTCAGCCAGGTTGAAGCTGTGAAGTTCTTCAAGGGATTTCTGCAGCTCAGGCCGACGCTATCGTTCATCCCTGGAGCGTTTCTGGCGCTCAAGGCTCTTAACCGATTTCCCACGCTGGACTCTTTGAAAGAGCAAGCAACTCACCTCGATAACGATCGCAAGGAACACGGCTACGATCTTCCTGCCGTGGACGCGAACGGGATCGGGGAAGCAGCCGCCTTTCGCAACGAAGACGACGATGAGAATACCCCGTTGATGCGCGGGTGGGTCTCGTTCATGAAAGCGATGGTTGAGGCCTACCCCGGCCGGTGCGTTAGCATCGATGATACGCTCAACTGGGGAGCCAGCACCCCTATGACCTATGAGGACGGTGCGGGGCAGACTACCATCCGCCCGACTGATGGATGGGTGTATGTCCCCGCGATGAATTCGGACATATACGATCCTCAGGAAACGTTCCTTCACGGAACGAACCTCCGATACCTCTGGTCGATTCTTGCACACGGAGGTCTGTTCGGGGAGGATTACGTGACGGACGATCATGGAAGTCACGAACCCTGCGTCTGGGTGACTGGACACGCTTCCGAGGCTGCCGGTAGCTACGCGTCTGGCACATACCTCGGAGGAGGATACTGGTTTCAAGTGATGATCTGCGTCTCCCGGACTGTGGTGAACACCCACGGTCGCACGACGAAGAAGCTGGGAGGATCCCAGAAACAGATCCGCGTCGGAACTCGATTCCTCGAGCTGTGCGGGATCGCGTTCAGGCCCTTCCGCCTTCTGGATGACCGCGAGCAAGGGGTTTCTACCTCTCCACAATACGTCATCCATGGTCACCGATTCCTTAGTGCCGACGGGACAAAAGCTGTGGCCTGGCACCCATGGATGGAAGCGAGCCCGATTGATCCTCGCATTCTGAAGCTGCTGGGAGAAAGCGTCGCTCGCGACAGTGTCGAGTTTGCCGACCTCACGATTCAAGGGGGCAACACTACTCAACAGGTTGCTTCCACCGAGACGGAACAATCTAGGGCGACCGCGGCTGACGATCAGGCTGCGGAGGGTGGAAATGAGGCGACGGACCGAGTCACAGTCCACCCAGCAGTGCTTCGCCGCAACCACTGGATGCCTGACTCTCACGGGACCAGTGAACACGCCACTGTCGGTGGCAGGTATGCCTTGCTATCCGAACTTCAATCCTCCAGCTACCGATTCGAGCTTGCTCCATTCTTTCAGCTTCGAGCACCCATCATGGGAGAGGAAGGAAGCCAAGGTTTGCCAAAGCCTGCAAGGCTCGAGACGATTGTCGGAGGACCCTCCAAGGAGTGGGAGGCATGGTGCAGACACTACCGAAAGGCATACGGTGTCATGCTCGGAAACTTCGCCAAGAGCCTCAAGAATATCCCGTACAGAGAAGAAGGAACAACGGATATTGTTAGTGCGCCGATTTGGAGCCCGGCCGATGCACTTGTGGCCGTATCGATCCATGGGGTCAGAACGGTCACGACCATGGCCTCCACGATTGCATTTGGGGGTGCACCGCCAACGATCAAGCCGGCGGTACCCAGCAAACCGCAGAGATTCGTTGTTATGCACGATGGCCTGCTGTCCTTCAAGTCTGCCAAATCTTGGCATGATGGCGAGATGAACGCCCATCTGAAGAACGCGCTGACGATTTTTGGGTTTCCTGATTCCGAGGTGCGCGTGCAGGCGTTCGGCGAGGACAACAAGCTCAAGGATATGGTCGACACTCTCGCGATGATGCAGAGCGAGACCTCCATCCCGCCATCGAATGTGCACGTTCTCATCCTTTGGAGAGGAGAGGATCTGTGGAAGATAGACCAGGGCTGGAACAAGCTAACTGGCGACATCGATATGGCACGATCTCAATATGCCAAGACGACCGCCCGGGATGCTCTCGAGAAGTACAATACGATCTATGGATCGGTGTCCCTTTGCGGTCCGGTGTCGCCGAGCATGGTGTACCTTCCGACTCTCCCTGGCCCTCTCTTCGAGAAATACAGAGAGGAGATGAGATCGATCTGGGACGCGATCAGGAGATCCAACCTCCTTACCCTGTCTTTTGACGCTATCCTGGAAGGTCTGCCATACCTGAAGGGATATCATATTATGCATGAGTCCAAGACGATTGGGGTCCTATGTACCCGCATTTGCTCGATGTTCACTCTTGCAGCTCTCGCACGATTTCCGTCTTACGGGACCCGCCGGGAGTATGAGATCGCTGCCGAGAAGATGTGGGCACGCACCCCAGTCCCGGAAGAGAACTCGCCGGGCGCGGTTAAGGCCATTGTGCACTCCACTGTGCAGGACCTCATCGATGGTGCAGATCGCGGCGCCGATCATCAAGCCGCAGAGACTGTCGACATGACTCAGCTAGGTTTCGATGATGACGATGATGACGATATGCCTGACGACGTAGGTCCGACCGCTCCCGGGAATCCGATCAAACAGGAACAGGGAACATTGGCGGATCTACCGGGTGTTCGTCATCCGGATCCGATCGAGCTTCCAGCTACTCCCGTGCCTGGCGAGGCAATGCCAGTGTCACCTGGCCTTGCTCCGACTGCCATGAATGATGAAGAATCTGGCAGCAGTTCCGATGAGAACGATCAGCAAGGGGATGGTGACGCGGCAATGCCCACAGTCAAAAAGGAGGAGTCCGATGAAGAGTTCAATGGGCTTCTCGAAGGAATGACTGAGGAATTCGCGAAAATGCCCACTCCTCGAGATGCCGAGCGAACTGTCGCTGCCAATCGGGACGCTGCACGACCGCCTGCCGTGCCCTCGATTCCTCTCTCTACGATGAAGAAGCCGAAGCCGGTTGGTGGCGAGGAAGCCGCGGGGCCCACCGCCGACAATCGACAAGCTTATGCGCACTTCGAGAGCCAAGTCAGTGAAGCTGAAGCTCGCCGCGAGCAAGCTGCGGCAATGAAAGCGCATATCGCTGAAGTGGCAAAGGGCGCCGCCGGTGTTGAAAATGCCGAACATCTTCGATCCATTGCCGATGGGCTAGCCAAGGTCTTGGACCCGAACATGAGCGATGACAATGTGTTTCAGGGTGCCTTGTATCCCCCGGGTGACTATGCGCTTGACGCTGTCACGAACCGACTGGCTCAAGGCAGACGTCGGGTTGAATCGAACAGCAATCTCATCAGGGAGATGGCCAGCGACCGATTCACGCCTGTGCTCATCAACCGAGACACTGGTGAGACTGTGTCTGCCATCGATGCACGATGGACTCCAGAGTATGGAAACAGGGGGGAGCTTGAAGCTAAGGTTGGTGCGATCATTTCCAACCTGGATGCAGTGGTTGCAAGCATGTCAACCCTCCCTGTGTTCCATCCGCACATTCCGTCGACGTATGGTATGGCTCGATCGCTTCTCAACACATACCAGTCGTTGCAGATTGCCATCCGACACCGTGGCATGGGTGCGATGTCCTTTGAGCAGATGGTATTCAAACCAGAGGACCTTGAGGTTCCGACCCCCGATGATTGGCCGGACCTCATCGCGCCTACCCCTGGAAAAGTCATTCAATCCATGCGGGTGGCCCTGGTGAACAACACGGCGGCAAGGTTGACGAGAGAGGACCTCAAGCTGCCACCGGGCTTCGCCATGCAACGACGAGTGACTGAGTTCCGTAAGCCGGAGGAAGATCCAGTGCAGAGCCTGATGGGGCTCACCGATGACTTGAGCTACGGCACTACTGGTCGATCTGGGGATGACAGATTGTCCCAGTTCCAGCGTAGTATGGCAGTACAGCTGCGGAACACTGCTGGATTCCTTGCGAGTGAGTTCCAGAAGCATGCCCGATCTATTGCCGCTTCTTCCTCGCGTCGCAGTGATGCTTCAGGTGCCCTGAGTAGCCAGGGTGAAGGCGCGGCGGACAACGATCTTCCGTCCACTGAACAGGTTAGTGTTGCATCTGAGCGCGCGATTGCGCCGCCTCCGCCAAACGTGGCTCCTCCTCCTCCGCCTACTGCGGCAGCACCTCCGAGGGCGTCCGAAGAGAGTGCAAAGGAGGATGACGATGATACCAAAATGGATGATGACACGGCCGGTCAGAAACCCGAGCAGAAACCCGAGGAGGACGCAGATATGGGTAGCGGGAAGGAGCTGCAAGACGAGGTCCCCGGCAAGGCCCCGCCGCCAGCTGCCCGAACCGCTGAGAGCCCTCCGGAACACGGCCTGCGTTCCAGTCCTCCGAATGACATGGTTGCTCAGGGAGCCGCGCTCTCCGGTGCTCGAGGACCGGAAGTCGATATTGATCCGGCCAGCACCACAGCCGATCAGGCGGCAAATGATCCGAGAAACTGCCGGATCGAGGGCCCTGGTATCAAGGCGACAACGATTCATCGCCCCGATCAGCTGCCCGAAAGGGGTATTGACTCCATTGCGCCAATCGTGCAGTACGAAATGACGTCTGTCCCGATTGCACTGCCAGATTTCGTCGTTCCGGGACTCGACATGGGCATCGATGACTCCGTCCATGGTCGATTGGTCTCTGCGACCTGTCTCCCACCGACTGACGAGCAGCGCAAGTATTCAAGACGCCGATTTGCTATGCTGTCCTCGAATCAGACAGTGTACTTGGGTATGGCGCTTCACAAGAAACCGCTTAAAGGAGAACACGATTCTTTCCTCCGACCGGAATCTTATGAGGACTGCCGCGAGATCCATGAAGCTGTCCGAGCCTACAATGCCAAGGAGGCGACATACCGATCTATCGGCGGAACATCAGTGTCATGCAGCCGATTGCTCATCGATGACGCACAAAATATCCCTGCCGCCAGGATTCCGGACGCAGGCATGATCAGTTTGGTGCGTAAGCTGCTGTTCCGAGTGCTGACGCAAACAAAGGAGCGTCCATCCTCGACTGCCGTCGGAGCACAGAATCGCCCCCAGGACAAAGAGAGGGGCGTCCCATTGTATTCATTCCTCGACCAGAGTGGCATCATCGCTTTCGATGTCATTCCGATGTACATGGAACGCGAGAGGGAATACATGAAGGCCAACGCTGGCGAGTTCAGCGGCCGGACGCTTCTCCAGACTAGCATTCTGGACGATGACGATAAGCCGAGTGAGCTCACCGTCCAGTGCATTACGGAAATTGCTCGAACGGACAACAACCGAATGTTTGAGTTCTTCTACTCGACGATCAACGACGATGGAAGTCCTCAATTTGTTGGCGTCCGAGCAACCTATGGTTTCGGTCCCGATAACTTCAACCGATTCCGATTGCTGATCAAGTGTCAGCACGGGCCATTCACTCAGCTCGCTCAAGAACATTATGTCAATGGCGAGAGGAGACGAAATGTGGCCCGATATCATCCCCAGTACGGATGGGGATGCGCAACGATTCGCGAGTTCTTCGGATACATGAACGATTGCAAGCTCAATCCCCCAAAGGGGCAGCTCTTCCTCACACTGCTCCCGTATGCCCCTGGATCTGGGAAGAACAACGAGTGGGAAGAGGTATACATGAACGTCCGAATGAACCCGGGACGTGAGACGCTCTCGAACACCGCGTCATCACAAAGCATGCTCCCCGAAGGTATGGGATCCAACCGCATGATTGTGTTCGCGATTGATTTGCACATGATTGCAGCAGGTATCAATCCGATTACATTCCATCCGAGAGGGTACTATGCGATCAAGGACAGTATCCCTCTCGCATGTATGCCGATTGCATACTTCATGGATACGGGATCTCTAGTGTTCAACACGGCCTTCAAATACATCGGAGGCCCGAAGTTTGGCACTGGACCCAAGAGGGGAGACCACAGACGAGAAACGTGGCCACTCGCTAGCTTCGACTGCCCCATGTGCGGAGCTTCATTCCCTGTTGGTCTCCACATGTGTCACTCTTGCACTAAGCCGATTCACTATCCTGATGGGATGTTCTACGCCGATCCTGTGAACCCCTTCCAGGTCGAATATTACGGAAGTCATGCTGAGTGGCTCAATGATCTGATCGAGCGTAACAAGCTTACCGAATTCCAGCTTCACGAGTTTCCTGCGATCAAGCAGCTGAGGAATTTCCCGGTGTCTAGGTCTCTCGCTGAGGACCATAGGCAGACCGCATTCTTCGGAGTGCCACCGATCAAATGCACCGCTGCTGACACATCGCCGAAGGAAGTGGAACTGTTCAAGAGAAGCGTGCGCGGTACGATTCAGGGCGCCATTCGCTTGGACATTTCCATTGAGAGGCTTGTTGCCGGTATCACTGGCAAGGAAGCTCGATGTGGAGTAGAAGACTTCTTCAACTCACAGTCGATCGCATGTGCTGCCACGATTGTCAAGCACTTTGGAGCGGTCTTCGCCACATGTCGCGAAAAGCCGTTGTGCTACTATGCACGTTGGTCGATTCACTGCCAGCGCGCATATCGAGTCTGCCTGTCGCGAGGGTATCTATCCCCCTATTGCACAGGTGTGACGGTCGATTATACCGTCGACCAAGAGATGGCAGAAAAGATCCGACTTGCTCATCTGCCCTTGCAAAACGCCAATTTGGCGATGAGGCGGCACATTCGACTCTCCACCGAGTTTGGAACGTTGGATGAATTCCGTGCCACTATCACGGATACGCAAAAGTATCAACGATACATGCGTGTCGACAGTGAGAGCCTTTCCGCGCTCCTGGCCAAGGTTACCCTTACCACATGCTACGGCATTCCGACAAAAGGTGAGCCTGGCTATATCTCTGACGATGAAGCAGAAGAGATCGAAGGAGCCGCAGCGGCAAGCGAGAAGCCCAAAGGGAAAGGCAAAGGGGAAGACGAATCCAACGTCCAAGCCATCAACTGGCGTGAGTTGGATCCCTTAGGACGGAAACTTATTCCGCATCACTCTGATCCCCGATTCACGATTATTGCTGAGGGGAATACGGCACTCCTTGATGCAGCCGAAACGCCGGAAGAGACGCGTAAGGAATTCACGGAGTTCGTTCGCGATCACTCTGTCAAGATCAAAGAATGCTTTGACGACGATCGTGCGACAGAGAAGACATTCTTCAATCTTGTAGAAGGAGTCAAGGATCAGCTTCCCGATGCAAATAGCACTGACCCGCTTCTGATGAAAAGGGCTGAGGACGTCTTCGAGGCTCTCCCCGATGAACTGGATGATCCTCCAAGAGTGTTCGATGTTGCGGCTCGCCAGGCACGACGGCGAGACCCTGCACCTCAGCGCAGAGTGCAGGTCACCGAGCAAAGACAAGCGCCGATCCCCGAGGCTCATGCCGTTCCCATTCCTACGGATGACGAGGATGAGGATGATACTGAGCTCGATCGAGCGGTACGACCCGATCCAACATCACAGCGCACCGGACGAGAGCATCTCGGAGGTGTCGCTCCCGAGACGACTCCGCCACCGCCTCATAACATGCCGCCGCCATCAAATTTGCCGACTCGAAAATCACATCGGCAAACAGGCTACAGCGCCGCCCATCCTGATGGAGAACCGTTAATGGTGTCGGGGAGGGCAGAATACTCCGATCGAATGCGGTTGCCCTCAGTGTTGCGAATGAAGACTCGGGTTCCGGAGTCGGATCTGGATAACCCGACGATTGAGGACATCATTCGCATGTATCATGCGCCGAACACGCTTTCCATCATCAGGAAGAAAGCCGCAGCCGTCATCATCGCGATGGGCGCAAATCCCGATGACGATATTAATATGAGGGCGGCTGGCGTTACTGTTCCCCATACCGGGAATACGGGGACGGGGCGAGCAGCATCGCCTGGAAGTACGTCCGCTGCTACACAGGAGCGGATTAATCCCCAGTTCCCGGCACCTAGCGTTCGCACTGCGTCGAATCCGCCATCGAAGTTGCCTCGCGATGAAAAGTGGGCTCCCTCGATTGCGCGACCAGCGCCGGCTCAGGTGATCAAAAGTGCAGAAGCACGGGGACGCACGCAACAGCGTGCTGCTGAAGAAACGAATGTTGCTCCGCCAGCTCCTTCCGATACTGCCTCTTCGGAGCCGCGATCTCGAACGATGGGCCCAGCCAAAGAGACCACGGCTAAGGGCAAATCCCGAACCGGATCCAACGTGACAGGCCTCATCGATGAAGCTGATGACACGAGGCAGCCGACGAAGGGCAAAGGAAGAGGGAAAGCCGAGAAAGGAAAAGGAAAGCAGGAGAAAGGCCGAGGAAAGGGCGATAAGGGAAACAAAGGAAGGGGCGGTTCTGGACGAGGAAATAAGGACCGCACCCGTAGCCCCACAAGTCGTAGGTAACGACCGTCAACATACGTAGCGACGTATTGTGTCACTGCAAGGTGAATCCGGTTGAGTCTTTCTGACCCTTGCGTCACGCGATTACGGGGTCAGGCGGAGTCTGATGGTGAAGCCCGGCTATGACACAATTTCCGCTACTTCCTCAGCCTTCCTTGCCTGCGCCGCGCTGAGAAGACCCACAGGGGTACAATGGTTAGCCATGGTATTTTCCTCGTGTGTCCCTCTCTTTTCACGGACATTCGATGCTGCCGAGTCTACACTCTGAGCGCGTTGAGTCTAGTGTGTTACCCCCGCATAGATCCGATGGAACATCCGATTGCCAACGATCACACGGCAATTCGCTATGCACCTGACGATCACAAAAAGGCTGCGTCTGTACAGAAGTGAAACATAGGTTTGATCCGGATGCAGAGACCGACCCACATCTAATGGTGCTTACTGCTTTAAGCTTAGCTGACCGGAAGAGGTGTGGCTCGGTGCACAACCAGTGTACGTGACTCTCCTAAACTCCGCTCTTCTCACGCGTGAGCTCGCATCGAGGGGGGTGTGATTTGTCACGGACATGCGTACATGTGCTTCTGTGTCTTGGTTAGGATTCACGCCAACTTTGTCTCACTACGCAGCTTGACAGCTCAAGACCGACTTTGCGTCAGGTCCAGCAAAAGGTCCGCTAGCACCTGGGGGTTCTAGTGCTGCCTTTCCGCTGAGCGTCAAACTTACGGTTTTAATCTCTGATCATCCTTGCTTTGCCTGCTGCCTTGCTTTTATCTACGATTGGTTGCCTTGGGCTTTGTGACCGAGAGTTGAGTGGAATCCTCCGCTTTTCACAGAGGGGTTTGAGTGCAGCTGGGAGGGGCGAACATGCAGTGCTCACCAAGGCGATGAGTACCTTAAAGCAGACCCAGTTGGACAAGCTGAAGGAAAGGTTGGGGAGCGTATCTGCAATGAGCACCTCGCAGCCATCCCTGAGAGCTCGTCAAGCTGACGGGCGCAGTGCATGACTGCTGAGATGCTATGGCTATGGTACAGTATCCTACTGAAAGCGGTGTAGCAATTCCATTCCGAAGGAGGTGCCGCTGCCCCTCCCCAGGGCGCAGGAGCCCGATGCTGTTCAAGGGCATCGGTGTCATTCGGTGGCAGTTGCTCTTTGCAGGAGCAGATCGCAGAACTTGAGACCTCCATCAGAGTGCTGGGTGGAAGCTCCGAGGAGTCCTCCGGGTGTAGATCTGAACATGACTGGACGTGCTTGCGATTGCTCGCGGCTGTGAGGCTGTGGAAGCCTTGCTGGAGGACTTATCTGGGCAGGCGCCTGCAACTGAGAGACTGAGTGGTTGTTCGCTGGCATGGCGGTACTGCATGTTCCGTTCTGCATTGGAAGGGAAGAGAAGCAGGGTCTCTACTCTCTAGAGCTGGTCAAACGTGGTGTGCAAAGTAAGGCATCTTGACGGAAAGCTGCATCTATCGAAGTTCTCCTGTGTCAGGTGGCTGAAGCCTTCTCTCGCGAGGAGTGGTACACGAGGCATGGCGACGTGACGCTGTGACTGGCACCGCGGCTGCTTTTCGCAGAGGTGGGGCGTCCACTTTCTTCCGTCGCTAGTGTGTGCACACGCTTCCCAACAATGCAACAACTTCAAGGACGATCCTTGTGTTCTATTTGAAGATCTGCACATATTTGCGCGTGTAACTTTGCAGGTTGCTGTTTCTTTCGCGATGCCGGAGGACCCTGGAGTTCAGCACTACGGAGGTGATCTCTTTGCCGACTTGCGAGACCAAGCTGACGAGGTGGAGAACGGCACTGTCAGCACTGTCACCTTAGAGTCAGAGAGGTGATGCTCATGGTTCCGCTATGTTCTGCTGCTTTCCTGCGACCTGCGCCTCCGAAAAGCCATCCTTGCTCCAGGTGTTTGAAAACATGCGGCATGTGAATCGGTCAGACTGTGCACCATGGGCCAAGGTTAGGATGGCTCTGGTGAAGCCTTTGTTTTCGTCTTTCCGGAATTCCAGAATCGTTGAGTACGGCATGTGACACATGGGCTTCTGGCAATCTGCGGCGGCCTTTGCTGTCAGGCGAACCACTTGCGGCGGTCACTGCTCTAAGCAATCACGGTCCGTGCAGGTTAGATGTCGTCTCGGATGTATTCCATCAACAAGGGAGCCGGGGACGCGACCAATCGAGGGCATGCCCAGGCCAGGTCATTCTCAAGCCTTTTTTGTGTCTGTGCTGACAACTGTCTGCAGGGAAGTGGAAAAGGCTGGAGGCCATGGAAGCCAGAGTTGGTGCCCAAGAGCAGTCGTCAGCAAGAGCGAGGCCAAGCCGCAGCCTGCAGGTCCACGGTAGCGGTCACAGGCATCACAGACAAGATGAAGAAGACAGTGCTGTGGTTTCCTCTATGCTCGTGTCCACAGTGTCCAGAAGCACCGCATGCCTTGCGCATGAATTCTGAGGCAAGCCTCTTTCGGGGAATTTGGCAGGATCATCCGCATCGAGGTGCTGTGCTGCATCCATATGCTTACGACCTATACTGGCCTTGTTATTGGCCTTGTCGGACCTCCCGTCGCCGACTCTTGCTGTGTTCGAAACTTGATGCGACGGTTGAGCCTTCGGGTCTGATCAGAACTGATACATCTCTGGTTTACGCGTCAGCATCCCCTTCAGCGCTCAAAGGTCCTAACATGTGTTCGATTTGCACACCAACTTCGCATGTCCGGATGCCCTCCCTCGCCTCTCCTGCCTATGCTTCTCGTACTTCCTGTTCTGAAGGCTTTCTTCATATCGTGTTTTCGCTTTTCATGATCAGATTTTTCTTCCCCTTTGTTCCCGTGCCCCTCTCCCAGGTGCCGGATGGCAAGACAGTTGCCTTCGTGGAGTTCGAAGAGCGCCGGGATGCCGACGATGCGGTGAAAGAGATGAAGCTCAGACTAATTGGCACAAGTAGTTGGTTTAGATTTTGGGATCGTTTTGTGATCATGTAGCAGAAGCGTCGGCGAACGCAGTATTCGGCTCCATCGCCCGATTTTGGCTTTTCCCTCGCTTTTATTCCCTCGGCGATCATGTCTTCGCCCAAAGCCGCCGCCATACTCAGTGCCTGAAATCGAAAAAAAATGTCTTTGGCTTGGGCCTCCGTATGCGGGTTGGGCCACCTGTGGAATCCTGCAAGCACAAATCGGGTTGCAGTGAGAGGTCGCAAACGGAAACTCCATGGGCCATGGGCCCCTGAACACTTGAAGCTCGCCCCTATCTGGGCGGTCATGGTGGAATAGCTGAAGCGGTTGGCCAGGTCATCCGCCACTTCAGGCACAAAACGAGAAGATCTCGGGAAGGCCTTTGCCGAAAATGGAGGGACTGCCAATGCTGGGCAGCCACCTTGCAAGCACCACGTAATGACCAACACGGTCGCCCGGAGGTCACATGCAAAGGGAAGTTGGACCAACTGGCACAGCACGGCGACAATCGAGGGCGCTTTTGACGGTACCGGTTCACACATCTTGCCGTGCCCGGCGACTGAGCTCCGGAACGTCGAGCGGTATCCATTGGTTCCAAGCAGGGTCGGCTGCGCTGAAAAACGCACCTGGCGCCGACACCGGTGTTCTAGGGCGCTCGACTACAGGTGCAAGCATGCTCTGTGGGCATGCTCTGTGGCCAGCAAGCTGTGCTCCGGTTCTGCTAACCCGTAATGAATCACAGGTGTGTTCGGTGGAACATGCAGCGTTCAAAGGAACAAGCATGGACGATCGCCACAGCATTGACCCGATCGCACCATTTCGAGCTTTTTCCCACCACCTCTCTCTACAATTGTTGTATATTGTTGTGATATCCGCATACAACTGCGAAGCGCTCAGGCACAATGCTCTCGTGGAAGGGCGTCGAATCGGAGTGCGAATGGTGGAAGCAGCATTGGCATGTTGTCAATCAGCAGCGTTTGCTGGTTTGCAGGCTTTCTTTTGGAGTCTTCAACTGTCCATGCAAAGCTTGAAAATCCTTGGCTTGCGCAAGCCTGTAAGCCTGCCAGGATTTGGAAGCCAAGCAGCCCCGCGCTCGTGAAGATCCTTCCGACAGGACCCGCCCCGGCCGTCCGAGCCTTGGTTTTGCTGGGTGCTCCGGTGCTGCCAGTGCCAGGCCTCGAGACCGCAGCCGAAGCCAAGCGCGAAGGCTTGGAGTGTCCCTCTCGGGGGCTTCGACTCGATAGAGCAACACGCACAGGTCAAGACGGTGATCATGCCGGCGGCCCTGCTTCCAGAACCGAAGCAGCTCCAGGCCGATGGCGGAGGCATGGGCCCTGCCTGCGCCAACCTTCAGCCTCTGCCACTGGGGCCTGTCGGGCGCTGCACTCCAAGCTCCAGCAACGTGACTGCCTGGTCAGAGGTAGACGTGAACTTGAACACGGATTACAGCCCGAGAGAACCTTCCGGCGGGTCGGCAAAGCCGGAAAGCCGTAGAGCCATAGTGCTCATGGCATCAAGCTTGTGCCGGTCCGTTCTGATCACCACAGCCAAAGCAGCAAGCCTCCAAAAGACGCTGATCTGATTTGCAGCACTTCTGCTCTTCGCACGGCTCCTCGGTGCAGTTCGTGGCCGCCAGGTCTTCTGCAGCCTCGAGGCCCCGAAGCCGCAGCTGCGGCCTCCACCGCCGCCTCCTCCGGTGCAGCCGCAGGACACACCAGTCAGCAGTCCTGAACTGACAAGGTACATGTGTGCAAAGTCGGGCAAACGTATCGCCGCAAGAGGCTACCCCGACTTCCCCTCCAGTGCATCCTGCTGCCGCTGCTGGCTTCTCAGCTTCTGCAACCCAAGTCACACAACTGACGTTTCTCGAACCTGGCTGGCATGTTGCAGGTGCGGACTGCTCCCCTTGTGTTTGCATCTGAGCTGGTGCTACAAGAACGACTTTGCATCATGTTGCGCTTGTGCTGATTTTGATCGTCAGACAGAACATGCTCTTCAAGTCCAGGTGTTGGCTTTTGGACCCATCACATCATGACTTGGCACACTTGGCCTAACTTGGCAGGTGTAGGCTTGAAAAGAACACGTACCAATGCGCCTGCTAGTTGTGCTATGCCAAAGCCTTGCGATCCTTCACTTGCCGCTGGTCGCCCTCGGTGGGTGTGTGGAGGCCCAATAGTTGATCTGTCTGCAACACCGCGGCATGTTCATCTTCGCTGCATTGAGCCCACTGAACCCGCCTTGGCGACATGTTGTGACATCTTGCAACGTTTGACATGCGACGCTTTCCAGGTGACCAACTTTTCCTTCGTGAACAGCTGTGGTGCAGACGTGATTCTCGAGGACTGGAATGTCGTCGTGCCAGCAAATACATCCCAACAGGCCGATTCGGATGACACTTACAGAGAGAGGGAGAAAGAAAGAGAGAGAGAGAGAGAGACAGAGCCACGACATGTTGATTCCGCGTGCTGAGTGTTGTTGCCTGGAGGTGATGGAGTTAAGAACTTCTGGCTTGCAGAGGCACCTGCCTAAAGTCTTGTTGCCAGTCGAGGCCACTCACGTTCAAGCGCAATCGCGAAAACTGCAGGATCTCTTGGCGTTATGTTGACGGCCCATGGGACACAGACTTTATCGAGCTGCTTCTTTGCAATGTTTTTGTTTGCCTGCGTGATCTTGCACGCTTTGGCTGGTAAGTTTTCTGAGTCTGTGAAACGGCCGAGGTTGAACGGAGACTGGCTGGGGGTTGGCACCCCTTTCTGCGGCCATCCAAACTTTGCCTCATGGGCAGGCTTCTCGATGTCCAGCAGGCGCTTTCTGATTCTGGCAAATGCCTCACATCCTATCATCAGACAGTCAAGTGCAGTCAACTCCAAAAGCTGTGGTTCATCTGGTTCGGTTATGGGTTCGCGGCAAGAGGTACGAGGCACTTCTGCCCGGTGAAAAGGGTGGAGAGCGCTTTGCGTGCTTCGGCCAAAATTTGTCCAGAATTGGTCTGTGCTGCAAGATCCTTCAGCATGTCATCGCGCCGGTGATCTCCTCGCAACGACCCCGAACAAACCCAGAAATCCCTGCGATTGCATGCCACTACACGTAGCCTTCGTGGACAGAAGACGCAGACAAGTACCCGGCGAGGTGTGCCGATCCCGGCGCAGAGCTGACATTTTCGCGAGACAGTTGCCCGTCAACGCCCACATCACGCGGCTCGGCTGACGGCTGATGTGATGGTTAGGATGCTCCTGCGTACAGAACTCTCTTATGTTCTGCGGCTCACGCAATCACGCAATGATGCACGGCTTCCCCAGCACGAGCCCCGAAAGCGGTGAAACACCGAACATCATCTCATCCACCCGTCCATCCATCCGCTCATCCATCCATCCGGCGGATTCAGAGACGCCCACAATGCTTCCCTCTATGGCTAGACTCAAGATCGGCGAAACTGCTTCCCCCATGTATTGGTGGGATTGGACCATGGCCGAAATGCTTCCCCTGCACACTCGCAGGATTCAGATGGGAGTCAGGAGCACGACCAACATGCTTTCACCATGTACTGGCTTAGTTCAGAGACATGACTAAAATGTTTCCCTCCACGTACTAGCATGATCAGGTTTGTCATTTCCGACACGAACAGTCACGGCACCACACGTGCAGCGCCATCTTGCGATGCGTGGCGACTCTCGCCTCGCCGTCGCGAGAGAAGACCGCACGAAGACCTGAGGGCCACTCCGCGGAAAACGTTTTGCTACGCTTTCGGGAAAATGACACTGTCAGCAGGCCATCCACACGTCATCGGTATGTCATGCTGTTTGTAGTTATTGTTGTAGAAGCACACCTTTTGCTTCGAAGCTCTTGAGCCCGACTTCCCTTTGCTGTTACCTCTCGAGGCCTTCAGCCTTAGCTACGCTCTGAGAACAGAGTGCGGTGCAGGGTGTCTCCTTTTGCTGGTTACTACCGCTGCCGGCATTTAGAATTATTTATTCCGCCGCTGCTGCAGCTTGTGACCTAGTGCAGCTCAAAGCAGAGGTTTCGCACCCGCACTGTAGCACTGACAAGTTGATGTCTAAGTGCGCAAGCGAGGCCTTTGCTACGCTCCGGATCGAATAAAAATTTTGTTAGTCTGTTAGTCTCACAGACTCATTGCCAGGTTATTATTGTGATTTCTTCGCCACCCAAGCCAGCATTAGAAATTGCAGCAGAGCCTTGGCTGAGCTATGCTTTGAATCATGCACATCTTCGTGAAATTTCGGAGCTCACCGAGGTGATTTTGCCATCTACATGCAGGCCCCTCTTCTGCATCTCGCTGCCTTGCGCAGCCTCGCGTTTTTCTTACGATCCGTGTTCCTTTGCAGGAGCGCTCCTGGGCATTAAATCCAGATGGTACTCGATCGCGAAATTACAATGCAACAAGGAGTCTTTGCCGCATTGCGGTGTCTGTGTGACATGCGTGAACTTAATCTCTGGTTGGTAGCGACTGAGGAATATCATCAACTACTGGTGTGCTCCAGAATCATCAAACTGGCTCGGATGGGGTGTGGGACGGAGCCCAAGCCAGATGTTGCTTTTCTTGCTCCTTATGTGCTCGCCTTTTCTTCTGAGCGAGGCTCCTTCATTGATTGCACCCAGAGAGGGACGCCGATTCATCTCCGTGTTTCTGGCCAGCAGTATTCGGGAATTTGGGCAACTGGAGGCATGCATGTCGCATCTCCTCGTGTTAAATCACGATGTCGCCTGCTCAGGTTACAACTTGCATCCCCGACTAAAGGATGCCAGGTCCTTTTCCTAGTTTTCCTCCCGTCGCGCCCGGGCCACAAGTTGCCCCAATTATCAATTAGCAGCCGGGTCGGTTGCCAGGAATTTGATGCCAGCTGTCCTCAATTATTGAGCACATTTTAAAGTTCCGAGCCGAGGGTATGTACAGGAAGTGGGTGAAGTGGCAAAACTGGAGCAGCGCTGCCCTGTCAATGTCCGGTTTGCCAGGTCCGCATCTCCAAGTGCTGCTTTGCTCGTATGACTGATCGCACCGAGGGACATGTCCCGCTACTACGATGCAAGCGCTGGCTGACGGAAGTGATAGACTTCATTTTTCGTGGATGATGAAGCCTCTGCCATTCTCATGTACAGCGCAAGAGATGCGGGCTGGAGAAAGAGAGTGACCGGACATGCAGGGACCGTCCACGACTGCAGAGTGCCAGTGGAGTGCGTGTCGCATGGTTGAAGTGATCCTTGATGCGAGCTGTTTTAGAGTGTGGGTAGGATAGGATTGTGCACAGCTTGTCGCTGGTCTTGATCGCATGGCACCAAAGAGGAGTGCCGCGAAAGCCAAAGGAGGCCGGGCAGGACCCTGAGCTTGGAATTGCAGCAGGCTTTACATCCTCAGAAGTTGATGTGCTGTTCAGGCAAAATGAAGAAGCCCGCAAGCAGCAAGGCTAGAGCCCAACGCAGTCGATTTCGCTGATTGGGCCGCTCCGGAACCTATCGACATGCGTAAGGTCCAAAAACGGCCTGCGGCGGCGAAGGCCGTGCGTGCACCGTGCAAGCGCCGTGGATGCTAAGACTCAGATCTCGAAGTTTGAGAGGCCGCGCTGAAGCGACCAGCGGCCATGAAGCAAACACCAGCAGTTGGGCCGCATGAACATGAAGCAAGACGCGTCGAACCCTAAAGACTGGCGTCGCAGGCAAAGAAGGCCAAGACCGTGGCCACGGATCCAGTGCTCCAGGACAGAAGCGACATCCGTTATGATTTTGTGGTGTGGTTGCGAAGAGCAGCGAAAGTCTTGAATTTCCTGGTAACGAGGAGCTGCGAGCCTGGGTAGTGAATCTGGAGCGTCGTCCAGACAGGTTCGGATTCTTTTTGCGTGCGGAAGACTGCCGGGCCTTTTGCTTGCGTGAGGTGGAAGCGGGTTGCGACGATGTTGAAGAAGGTGTGATGCGGAGAGGCCTTTGCTCACAGTCTGCGTCGGTCAGCGGCTGTTGGAGGAGCTGCCTTGGTTGTCCTTCGAGCGCTTCCTGGCGTCAGATGGATCGAAGATGACGATTCCCGAAGAGGACAGGGCCCACAGGGCTGTGCCAGGGCTCTGGGCAGCTGCATGCATGGCTTGGACAGGACATCGCTGTCAAATGGAGCACGTCCAGAAACGCCGGAAGCTGTGTGCAGTCCACTTGCTTTCCAATGTTGATTCAAAACGGATTTATCACAGATAGTATCATCACTGACAGGCACTCTTCGCTGACTACTTCGAGTGGGTGTTCGAGGCTTGTGGACGAGAGTTTTGTCACGATCCGGTGAGCATGCTGGGGGTTTACAAGGATGGCAGCCCATGGATGTGGGCTGCTGATGCTCCAGAAGAAGATGACAATTGGATTTTTCAGGAAGACGGGCCTGAATTCAGCCACCAGACTGCAGAAGTGGGTCGAGGAGCTTTCCATGTTTAATTGCGAGAACAGAGTCGGGATGAGTCGTTCAACGTCCTTGAACCCGGAATGCCTGGCCATGCTGGCCATCCCAGGCTATGTGCGCGATGCACCAAGCTTTGATACTCAGCCGCCTCGAAAGGGGACCGTGACCAAAAAATCTACCGGTGAGAAGTTCCAGGCTGCCCGTCTTTCAGAATTACAATGCTGCAACCTCGCAGCCGTTGCCAGGTTCGACTGTCTTTTGCACAGCGGTTCCGCGATGGTCAGGACGGGTTCGTGGAAATTCAGAGACTGTTTCCGTAGTTCTGGGCTTACATGGGCATGGCTTGCAAGAATCTGGACTTACCTCAGATTCGCTAAGCAGTTCGTCAGTCAAGCAAGCAGTCAATCAGCCAATCAGTAGCAAACCAGTCAGTATGCACAAAGCGATGTGTGCACTTCTTGCGCTTGACAAGTCTACCCGTATTGATAACTAATGGTCCCTTGCAGCTTGAAGCAGTCGGCTTTCATGCTTGCCGCCAAGAACTGTGAAAGCAGAAGCATGCGAATGGGTCCCGTGATCAGTCAGCATCAGTCTGCCCTTTCAATCTCAGGAGCAGCTAATGTCTGGCGGAGAGCGTGGCTGCGCCCACTCGCACTTGTGTCCGACCAAGAGAGACTGTGCCTGCTGCGTCTGTGATGTTTTAGGGCCTTCCTCATCCTTCCTCTGGCTTCATTCGGCTTCATGCTGGTGCTGAGGCGCCTTTGGCGCCTTGCGGCCGAGCGAGAGCAGCCCACGCTGGTGTTGGAGGAGCCGGATTGTGGCAACGGAAGTAGTTGTGGCCGTTGTCGTTCTGCTGATGACCGGAATGCCAGGATGATGTTCACTTGACCTTTGATCGCAATGGCGATCTTGGCAAGATGAACGGCAAGGCGGTCGCGGGCTCTCTCGTTCCAGACCACGGAGCCTGGATTGCAGGTTTTCACCGAGCGTTTGACGAAAGCCCTGCAGCGAGTACCCTCAGACTTTGAGCCTGGTGCTGCAAACTGTGACATTCGAAGCGAGGGCAGGGTTGAGTGTACTCTACTTACGTACAACAACAACTACAACAACTACTACTACTACAACTACAACTACTACTACTACTACTACTACTACTACTACTACTACTACTACTACTACTACTACCATCACTACTCCTGCTGCTGCTGTTGCTGCTGCTGCTACTGCTGCTACTGCCACTGCTACTGCTATTGTTACTGCCACTGCTGCTGCTGCTGCTGCTGCTGCTGCTGCTGCTACTGCAATTGCTACCGCTACTTCTGCTACCAAATGAGCCTCAACAGCCTTAAGCAACAATCCCAAACCCATTGAAAAGAACCCTAAGCACGCCAAGCCTAAAGAACACAACACGCTAGTCATCCCCAAATCCTCCACGATAAGAAACCACACTCCCTGAGCAACCCCAAACGCTAAACCAACTTGTTCCAGCCAGAAGGCCTGCACCCGGCGTAACCCAAGCCCCAGACCTTAAACAATCTAACAACTGAATCCCAGGCAGCCTAATCCCTACAAGGTCACACGTTCGTAAGCCAGGTTTATGTGGAATTGGCTCTTAACCCACGCATAACAATCCCAAATCCTAATGAGGGAACCCTATACCCAGAAAACTTGACACGAGATGCTCAACCCTACACAACCCAATCGTGGACCCGATGCAATCCGGAGCCCCGAACCCGAAACCCTACACAATTCCAGTCCAAGCCACCACGAAACCCAACATCCAATCCGTAAATAGCAGGACACCAGAAATAAACCCACAAGCAACCTTCAAGAAGATCCAAACGACCGCAGACCCCACCTAAACCTTTGACAACCCCAGAGTCGGATGCGCGCTGATGTTGACAGCCAAAAGACGCGCAAGACTTGCATGCGGACCCGGCTTCCATGGAAGCTTGGCCTTATAGCTGTGCCGTAGAAGAAGCTCAGGACGTGGTCTACCTGGGCTGGTCTGGATGGCGAGGTGGGAATTTCATGCACATGAAGGCGCGAGACAGCGCCATGGCATGCATCGCCCGCAAGGGCACACGGCCCACTGCTCTGCGTGGCAGGAGTCTGAAGGCACGCTGTCGGCAGAGGACCGAAGCTTCGTCCAGAAGGCGTCCTCATGCAGAGATTTCATCTTGCGCGAAGTCCCACCCTCGCCGACTGTTCCCCAAACAATGAGCCTGGAAGCTTGAAAGGCAGAGTACGTGTGGACGACTGTTGCGTACGTCCTCTCACAGGCCGCAACAAGCGCACAGCTTTCGCAGCCATGATTCGAGTCTGGCGAGGCTGGTGCAAAGAAGCTGCTTCTGGCAGCCAGCAATTCTGTCAACCAGCCGGTTGACAACTTCATGGCATACGAGGCCACCGGGCTGCGGAGAAGTCGGCACATAAGAAGACTGACACTGAGATGTGCCGTCCAGGCCAGCCAGGGAAAGCTGAACTCGTATGTCTGCCTAGACGAGGGTGACGAGGCACTCGCCCAGAACAAACTCTGGTGAACCCACGACGTTACATGTCGCGAGGACAGCACGTGGGCTGGTGGAATCGTTGATCAGTTTGACTTCCAGGGAGATTCGGACATCAAGAAGACCATGCCCCAGCAAGGCTTTTCACAACCGGCTCTGAACCTGCATCCAATCTTCTCAGGTCTGATGGTGGCCATCAGGGAGATGATGCCAACGAGTTCGCAACCTCCTAGCTGGGCGGGCCATCGTTTGTGGGGGTCCTCTGGCCGTCTGGCGCTTCGTCGTCAAACCCTCAACCATCCTGAGCGGCGAAACGGCCAACACCTCCACCTGCACCAAAAAAGAGACCCGGCCTGAAACCAAAACCGTTCGTAGGAGTAGACTCAAGAATCCTGCAGCCTTGGAGGATTGCCATTAACAAGCCTTTCAGCGCATAGCTCCTTACGCAAATTGCCCATCCAGTATTGAAGCAGACAGTCAGAAGCTGATTCCAGATACTACTTGTAGTACGGTACACTATTGTTTGTGAGCTCAATGCATCAGGTTAGCTCAGGTTGTCTGATAAGAAGGCGCCTTTCGAACAACTCAGGACAGCCAGGGGCAGCCAGGCGGCCAGAATGGCCTAGGGATGGGAAACGGGGAAAGATGGGGAAAGCGCCTGGGAGACAACGTCAAAGAAACGACACGTTGTCTTCGCAGCACGGCGGCTTGGAGCTGCTTCGGGTTGGCCAGCACGGGCAAAGGGTTGCTGTGCAAGTGATGGCTGGGCACAGTTGATGCGAGAAGGTAGCAGCGCCCACAGAGAGAGCAGATTAGATACTTAGCTTCTACAGTAGAAGGTATGCAATATCTTCAGCATCTAACACGGCAGTCCTTGTGTTGTTGGCCGGGGATGGCCGGGGTGGCGAGTCACAGGACTCGCGTGGCCAAGATGCCATGATTCTGCGAGGAGCGCAGCGCAGCGCACGTAGAATCATCGAAAATCCATCGCAGGAGTCGCGGGGTATGTGCCAGGCGTCTGTGTCTGTGTCCTTGTGCAACACAGTGACTGCTTCGGGGAGCCGCGCTGGCTCGAGCCTGCATGGCCTCCTGGGGACAACGGTGCGGCGCTTGCGGCGCTTGTTCTGAGTCTGAACCGCCATGTGCCACTGCCCTGTGGCTTACGCCCAGATCAGCATGGCCGCAGAGCCGAACACGAGCAAGAGCAAGCTCCTCAGGAGAAGGAGCACTTCAGGTGGCCCCAACATGCCATGCGTGCTTGCTGCAAGTCAAGTTTTTCATGGAAGAGGTTGCTGGCTGGGCCTAGTGCGTTTGCTCAGACTCGGTTTCGGTCTGAGGAAGCATGCAGATGAATCGCCCAGCAGCGTGAAGCAGTGTCTAGCGATGGCAGTGATGGCTGTGGGCAGGAATGCAAGTTGTGTCTACTGAGGCACCCGGCACTCTGTTCAAGACGACGACAACATCGAAGCACCGGGCACAGCTCTGTGTGTAAGGGCAGACACTAGATTTTTCGGACCCCAGCGTGCATTGTGTAGGTCGCGGCTGAGCCTAGCGGCGGTTGCTTACATTACGAGGCCGTGGCTTGTGCCTTTATGTCTTTAGGCCATCTTCCCTGTTCTCTAGCAGACTCTATCTAGCAATGTAGTTAGGCCAAGGGTTTTCCAAGTCAACAGGTCAACTTGCCTTGACAGGACAGGCGCGATGCAGTGAATGAGGTGGTGCTGGAAGGTCCGCATCCTGAGAAGCGGCGGTGCCTGCAGCATTGTCACAACCTTGTGACAAAGGCGGCGAAGGAGATGCGGTCTACTTCCAACGGGTCCTGTGCCGACCTCACGTCCTTGCGGTGCTCCTGCTGTGAGTTGCAACCGGATCCGGTTTTGTTCGTGTGGCTACGAGGCCCGGCTCCAGAGCGGCTAAGCTCGGGGTGCAGAAGGGCGACGAAGTGCTGCAGGTCGGAGAAGTGAGCTGAGTGAAGAGCCTTGCGATGCGACGTGCAGCCAGGTCAATCTCATTGATCCCGAGATCTTGTTCTGGCGTCCCGCAGAGGAAATTCTTCCCGCCATAGTTGGTCCGGGGCTGGTGTGGCGAGCAGCAGTGCTGTTGAAGCAGTGGCAAATGTCAGAAGTCAGGAGTCAGGGTCCCATGTCACCAAAGTGGAGCTGCGCTTGAGTTGAGTCTTGCTGTAGGTAGGGTCGGACAAGGGAGGAAAGCTACGAGCGATTGATCCTATGTGGAGCGGGGGTGCTGGGGGTCAGTTCTGAACACGCAGGAGGCAAAAGGGATTTCGTGCAAGCACTCCCGGTTTCTCTGGCGGGCGGCGGGGGGGGGTGGGGGGTGGGGGGTGGGGCGATTCAACAGTATCTATGCCAATGCATTCATGGGTTTTGTGACCAGAAGTTGAAAAACAGCCAAGCACAGCGACGACGACAATGCCAACAAGAACAGCAGCAACAAAGTCACAACAGCATGATGCTTGCAAGAAGAAGAACAGTAGCAGCAAGAGTAACACGGAGTAGCACTGACTTGACAGCACCTTAAAACAGAAGTGGATAAGCACACCCAAAACGCCCGCTCGACAGCACCACGCCCGCTCGACAGCGTCACTCGACCTCCCTTCACCCGGCTCCCTTTTCTATCCTTTCAGTGGCCTTGGCCCTCAAGTCTTGAGTTTAAGATTTGAATTCAGGCCCTGTGATGCTGAAGTGGCGGCGAAGACCTCCACAGAAGTCGGGAGAGCGAACTAGGACAGGCGGTGCCCATGCATGAGCCGGGCGATGGAGGCCCCGTAATGTCTTCCTGCTGGCTCGAGATCCTGGCGGCAGGATCAATTCGAAGCCAATCAAATTGCTGTGGCATGCTCGGAGCTTGGCAAGTTGTGTGGTTTGTCTGGAAGTGTTTTCTCCTTGAAATGCCAGTGCATCAACCCGAGACAGGATGACGAAGAAGAGCTTCAAGATGTCGGGGCCGAATATGCTGCTTCTGCTTTGTCGCAGCAACACGGTGCAGCCTTCACATCCTTGACAGGCTCCAGAGTTGTTTGCAACCTTGTTTAGGCCTAGGTTTTTTTCTCCGGGGCAGCATGTTGCTGCTCGGAAGCAGCATCATCTGGCATCCACATGGTCGGATGCCCCATGGACAGTCCACACTGTGCGGAGTAGCCGGATGTGCTGAGTCAAGATGCTCCAGAGATATCTTGCCGACTCAGCTGGATGAACCCTCACCGGCGACAGCTGTGCATGCATCGGACTTGGACTATATGACACCGCAGCCGAGGGATCGGAAAAGGTAGCGGCTGCCCTGTCGCCAGCTGCGGAGTTGCATCCAGACAGCACAGCAGCAGCGTGTTGTCTGGTCTCACTCGCAAACGGCGCGACGAAGAAGAGGCCGAGGTCGGATCTTTCGAGCCTAAGAGCTCGTAGATCCGTCGTGCTCCATAGGCACCGGGCAGCCTCTCTCAGCAAGGCTTTGCAAGACCCATACATGGCTGCTGAATCCACAAGTCGGCACACACCCTGGTGTGCATGTATGCAGTTGGCTTGCTGAGCGAAAAGGAGACCTTGCTCAACTATGCTGAAGACTCTCATATGACACACTGCCGTCGTGCAGGCCTGCAGCGTTGCGCTGCTGTGGTAGCCAGGCAGGACGACGACACGTTGCAATCTCTCCTGAGCCCATGGCGGCTAGTGGTGCTGGCCGCCAGCATGTTGACGCCTGTGCAGCACTTTGCCCTGGCGAGTGTGCCTATGTGTCCGACCATGGCCGGCGTTGACCACAGCAGCACCCTGCAGTGCTCCGAGAACCTCTTGTGAGAACTAGTTCCCTGGGGGGACACAAAAGTTCGAGAGGGTCAAGGGCCAGCAATCGCACAATGTCTGGAATGCACTCGAGAGCCACATAGGCGAACACTTATGTGTGCGGTCGACGCGCCTGTATCCGAAGCCCGATACAGCTGCATTCTGGATCGTCTCGACGAGCGGACAAGCACTTGGCCGCACACAGGTTTTCAGGACAGGCCTCTCCAGAAAGCCCCAAGCTCCTAGTACGCCTACGAAGTTACGCCGTGCAAGCAAATACAGAGAACGCATCCCTCGTGCATGCGCCGATCATTCATGACGTCGTCTGCGCAGCAGGCCTCTCTGCTGGACAATTTCGATCATCTGCATGTGTCCTGCTACAATCCGGAAATGATGATTCGCGCTACCGACAAAGCATCCAAATACAAGCGCAAGGCCACCGACGAGCTCTTGCATCTGCTTCACTGGTCTGGCCAGCTCAGCATCGACAAAATCGTCAGTGGTCACCAAGGTTTGCAAAGGACCCTTCTCAGGAAGCATAGTGGCACTCCCTTGATTCAGACGAGGGAGGAAGTCAACCTATCGCTTAGCTTGTGATGCAACCTTGCCTTGCTTCTAAGAAGCAACGCCACTGCTGGTCAACTCCTAGGTGACGTGCACCTTGCCCGAGCTTCTATGGTCTGTCAAAGCGGCCCAGCACTGTTGCGAGACAACATGCAACGAACAAGATAGAAAGCTTGCTTGCACGTGGCTGTTTTTGAGCAGCAGCATTTAAAGCCGAGATGCGAAGGTTGCGAAGCCGCCATAACATGACTGCGCGTTTTGCTAGGTGATTCCGGAGTATCCCAAATCCCGCGCCGAAACTCTAGGAGAGGGCGAGTGGAACTGCCCTCAGTTGTCAGTGCCCGGGCTAGCTTCAGAGGCGTCTAGATGGCTCAGCACATGGTACAGCGCAAGAAACTCCAAGGCTTTGTGGTTCTTGCGGAGCAAAAAACTTCGACACGCAGGAGTGGGAAGCCCAGCGGCCACTGTGTTGCAATACTGCTTCATCAGGTCAGGTGCGTGTCTCAGGCACTGTCGCCGATGTGGTCTTCGCGACTCACGCCTGCTGCAGCCTCATGCTGCTGGAGCACAGATCTATCAGACATGTTCAGCTCCTGTGCAGGCCGAAGCGTCCGGGGCCCCAGCCCCGGCGACACGTGGACCTGCAGAGGAGGAGGGGCGGGGAAAGAAGTTGCGCAAGTTGCGTCAGTTTGAGCATGAATGTTCTTGCAGTCGCATCAAGACAGTCAAACACACCCTGAAGTATTCCGGCTGTTTCTTTCGGGCGCGTGGATATTGACAAGCAGGCCGCAGCATTGGATGTGAGCTCAGAAAGTCGTCCTGTAAAACTCGCAGCATGCTACGGGAGGCAGTCAAGCACGCTGCATCCGCCTGGTCCTGTGATGTTATCGGCATTCCCTTGTCCTTGCTGATGAGACGTGCACAGTTGACAAAGGCCGGACGACTCAACGTTTGTGACGTCTGATCGCATCCAATGTAGCGCAAACAAGTCTCTTGCTGTGCTGGCTTTCTGTAGCTCCAAAGCTGAGACTTCAACAAAAGGCCGGCTTCTTCCTTGAGATTCAGCCGTTTTTGAGTTGAGGAGCCCGGAGTACAGTACCAGGCCATTCACAACTCCGATGGCTGAAGAGTTGCTGCAGAATTCGCTGTGAGATGATTCGTAGCGTCCCCCGCTTTGTCATGCGGAAAGTTCCCCCGCATCGCTGATCCTTTGCAGAGCAAGCACCGCACAAAGGTTTCCACAGACACACTTTGTCGGTGCCGCACCACTTGCACATTGGCTTCCCGTCACGATACGATCAAGCGTCGCAGTGTCTCGACTCGATTGAAATAAATGTCATTCAGTGCTGTAGAGGGCCACTAGGATCAGACGTGTTGATTGCTTCACTGCTTATCGCCGCACCACGCTGTCCTTGTGATTAAAGCTTTTCAAGTGCTACACGATGGAAATGCGGGGGTCCTCACGGCAGGTGGGTAATGCGTTGCTGCTGATTTTTGCATGGGTGCAAACTCCGTGGCTAGAAAGAACGCCTTCCCCAACTTGCAGGTGTCCTGCGGCCTGGAGGTGAGCACAATGAGCTGCGATGAGCTCTGGTCAGTGTCCCATCCGCTTCTTGAAGTCTTGGTGATTGTGCAGTGGTGCAACAAGTTTGGCCGCGACTCTTTTTTTAAAGAGTCGCGGGTTGAGACCGGAGTTCGGAAGCCAAGCCGCATTGAGGTCCAGATGCCTGTGACGCAGCTTTGCTGGCCTGCGACTCAGATGTAGCGCGGCAGAATGTGGCAGCATAGCCTACAAGCCTTTCCTCCGCAGTTGAGAGGCCTGGGCCAATGCATGCTTGCAAAGTCACAGCGACGAGCCGGCTCCTACCCTCGAGGCCAGGCCTGCAAACAACTGAAGAGTGCTCATTCATGCTCTCGTCTCGTGGGCCGTGTTTGTGCCGATCAGACACCGTCTCCGGTCGTCGTGTGGGCTTTGGGGTGAATGTTCTGTGCATGGAGTGATGCGTTGCGACTTGCAGGCAATCGTCGAGACGGACTCTGTTTCCATGCTCTTCAAAATCTTCGGACTCGGTGATCCCGACCAAGGCAGGAACTCTCTGCTGAGCCACTCGCCAAGATCAAGAGATGCAGAGGTGCGCGTCGGAACCCCTCGCAGCGCCGGCGGCGTGCTGCGGAGATGCTGAACGCCTTCCGGCCAGGTCTGGCAGCCTGGAGAAGCGGATGTCAAGGGCCCAAGGCCAAAATGCCGCTCCCGTGAGAGGCCTCATCGAACCCGCCGTGGCCGAGCTCGGCGGCCCGGCGGCAGCGCGGCTCTCAGGGAAAAGCGAATTTTGGGCTCGGCTGCAAGCGGTGGCCTTTCGGCAGGCGCGAAACATCGCCGCGGCCGTTCTTGTAGTGGCCGTTGAGGCCCCCGGCCTCGCACGTATGAGACATTTCGAACGAACCGATTCAATCGTTTCGCGAACTCCAAGCACCTAAAGGACTGACCAACTTCCCTCCGAACGACAGGCACCAAGCGCTACGAACATGTATGCTGCCAAAGATGACGAGCAGACCAGAAATCAGAGGTACACCACGGCAGCCGATAACGGCAGTAGTAGCTCCTGTCGCCAAAACTGCTGCAGCTGCTGCCGGTCCTCCTCGAACAATTGCTGCTACTGTTACTGCAGTGCTACTGCTACTGCTACTGCTACTGCTGGTGGTGGTGGTGGTGGTAGTAGCAGTAGGACGACTTCAACTGCGACTGGACGCGAGTGAAATGGTTTAGGTTGCTGCTTGTATCTGACCATGCGGGAGGCAGCCGCCAAGGAAGAGGCCATACAAATCATTGTGGGCCTGGATCAGTCCGTACAGGCAGCTGGACAAGCCGCAACTGCTCCTAGTCTAGGCCTAGGCTGACCGGCACCCTGGCAGCTACCAGGCCGAGCTGGCGCGTACCATCCAGCAGCTTGGCTTTAGGCAATGTTGCTACCCCTAATGTACTCTGAAGGCCAGTCAGTTCCAGTCAGGAAAAGACATTCTGCCCTAGTCACTGAATGCAGTTTTCAATGTCTGCAGTCTTGAACTTGGCACAATTGTGATGAGGCAGCTCATGGAAACATCTCAAGGTGGGCAACAGTCGCAAGACTTGATTCGCGCCGAGTACCGTGACAAACTGATGAATGCCAGGGTGCACCCAACCCCTTCTGCGAGGCGCGGCAGAGAAGAAGCAGAAGCAAATTGAAGCCGACGAGAATCCCTTCGCGCAATCCTTATTGCAATTGACAGACTTTTCACTCTTGCGTACTGTGAGATTCCTTGCACGCTGGCTGTTCTCACCAGGAGCTAGTCCGACGTTTGAGCCAAGCAGATCAGCGCCGCTTCAGCGATGTACAGCAGCTTGCAAGCATTTGTTGTTTTCTGGGGTTGATTACAGGCGCTGCGCGGAGCCGGGAATCGCCGCTTCCTCCATCTTATGCCCTCCCAAACCCAATCTTATTCAGGTTCTTGCGTATCTTGATAACAAGACAGATTGACAAGGAAGGCAGGACATTTCAGCCGCTGGATAGTACGGACATAGTCGTCCAGAGTGTCCGGGGATAAGAGCGTCAAGTCCTACAAAGCCTAAACCTTGCAGCAGCACAGAAAACAGCCCACCGCATCTGGTTCGAGTCTGGTCTCGAAGCAGAGCTCTTGTTCAACATGAGATGTAAAACGGGCCGGTATGCCATGCAACCAACTTTCACAGAGGGTCCCCTTGCCAATGATGCATGACATATCGTGCTGTTCTCATGATCTCACACGAGTTTGCATGCTTTGAAGCGCCTCTGGCATGATTGAGCCGAGGATTGCAGGCAATGATCCGCAGGTCATTGAGCCCTTGAAAGCAGAGGCTGTGACCGACCGCCCACCTTGACGGCTGATTTTCACTTTTTGCACGAAGGCGAGGGAGCTGCACCGGGAGCTGGAGCGGTCCTCGACCAGATTCCTTGAAGCTCAGAAGGCACTCGGCGTTGGAGGGAGGGGTTGCCTTTCGCGCGTATTCGCGCCTTCATCGCTTCGTAGGCCCAGAGGGCCATGGCCCACAAAGTGGCAGATGCTAAGGCGGCGGAACGGAACCGTTGGGGGCCCTGGTGGCGGCTGTACTGGAACGGACTCGTGTCGGCAGGCCCAACTCTGCAGCGAAGCCGACAGGTGCGTGGACCTCCTCCAGGTGCGAGGCCAAGCTGTCACACTCTTTGCAACATTGTGCGCTGCAGACCTCTGTGAAGCTTTTGACGTCACTTCCAAGGAGCTCAGCGAGCGGGAGACCGAGCATCGCTCACTTTCCCGGGACCTTCAAAGCCTCAAAGAGGCCTGCACATTCTTCGCACGGAGGAGGATGATCAGGGCCTAAAGGATGTTGCCGCAATGACGCCGCAATGCATAGGATGAACCAACCGCGAACCCAAACTAGTCAGACAGCCAAGCACCTACTGTATCTATTTGCATGCTTCCCTTCCTGCCTTCAACTACCTACCTTCCTTCTTTCCTGCCTGTTTACCTACTTATCGTTACTAACCTGTAGCCGCAAACTGATCAGCAGTTGCATGAAAACTCCACATATTAAGCACGTTGATTTGGCACCGAAGGCAGAGTCTGCACTGCAGACGGGTAAACGCCGTACATGTTGGCAGCAGGAGATGCAGCATGAGAACGTGGCCTCACTCAGCCATCAAGAGGCATTCGGGTCGCAGTGTTCGTCTGTGTGCACGAGTGTGCCTCGTGGGCCACAGGCTTTGAAGGGCCTTGGTGATGAAATCGAGGAGGACGGACGGAAAGCTGTTTGACATCAGAACTTGATGCCTCCTACGGCAATCAGATCCCTGTCAACATCCCGCAAATAGGAGAGACGGCGGTACCGCAGTCTTCAGATGAACCACATTGACCTCAAGGCTTGCGCCGAAGACCCTCGATGCTTGGCCCTGTCTGGGACATGCGTTTAGGCCGAGCTCGATCAAGCTCAGCACTCATCGGCCAAAGTCGAGACATCGCCTGCTCCTCATGGGAGTTTCAACTACTTAGTTACTTGCCTCATGTTTGTTCCGATCCTGCCGTGCCGCCCAGGAGCTGGAAGCGCACCGCCATGATGGCCAAGCTCACACGGCCCCAAGCCTAAGAGTTAACAGTAAGACGGTGCTACACCAGGTTAGCAGTTAGCAGGAGGAGTGAGATGGCTTTCGATCAAGGTTGCAAGAGAAGGTTCACTGCAAGGGCCTCGGACCCGTGTTGTTTCCTCAAGCACGCTTCAATTCTGGATTTTCAGGAGCCTTCAGTTTCTCGCAAGGCGATCGGACGAAGCTGGCCGACTCCAGGCGCAACTTCGAAGTCGAAGAGGCCCAGTTTTGCGCTTCTCTGCCAAGCTCCCCTGTGTGCCCTGCTCCAGGCCTGTGCTGCAAGCCTGCGGCAGGAGCTGGAGGAAGCCGAGGAAGCAAGCAAAACGACGTTTCCTTCTTCGATTTGGGCATGCTCGTCTGCTCGTCCCGTCCATTGCAGTTCTGCTGCACAAGGATCTTCTCTCGCATAGAGACCTTGACCTTTCGGGCTGCGAAGAAAGCTTCTCCGCGACGGAGGTGCTTGTGACAGTGTCAGAGGCCTGTAGTGGTGCGCAGATTCTGCAAGTGCAGCTTCTGCGCAGGGCATCTTGCATCAAGCAGAATCTGAGCTGGATAGCTGCACAAACGAGCTCAAGGCTCTGGACAGCTCTCTGTAGGATCTTTCACGAGTCGGATCAGTGCAGGCGATGACTTCCGAAGATCTGGACAGTCTCCGGCTCGAGTCGGGAGCCCAAAGTCCAAAGCTCTTATCCAAAGCTCGATTGACGGTGGACGTGGAATGAGGATCGAACGGAAGCGGCAGGCGCTGGCACGTGCGGAGCAGGGCAGTGCACTCCCCTCAGCAGATTGGACACAGCACACACGCGTGGTGCATTTCTTTCTACTTGTCTCCCTCACAGGCTGATGCCGTTGCCCAGCGCTCCGCCATCGGTCAGCAGATGCCGGAGGTGAGCGCTATGCTCGAGGCCTCGTGCTCAGGGATGAAGGGCCTGCTTTCAGTAATTCACACACCGTTTCAAAGCCTTGTCTCTTGGACCATACTGTCTACATGCCTCAGTCGTCATCATCCACGAGTATCTCGACCGTGTTGCAGCTTCGTAGGGTTATTGAGCATAGCGCATCCAACGGTTGCTTTGCAAATGGACCATGAAAGAGTAACTGTCGGCCATCAGGCTTGAGTCGACGTCTTCACATCTCGATGTGCCTTCCTAGTCTCTCACTTTGTGAATTCCGAGGACCGGCGCCTGGCCGCGGAGAGGGCTGTGGACGAAGCCGTAGCTGCTGGTGTGGCGGTGTCGAGCCTCGACCGTACGAAAGTTATGAGAGGGAACCTCCAAGCAAGTTGCACATTGATTGCTTTCCCCAAAGCTTGATTGACAGCAGGGGTTTGCGAGGTTCAAAAGCTGCCCGATCGGAAGCCTACCATTTATGAACGATGCTTGAAACAGTTTCGGCCAACGAGACTTTCGATTCACATTTTATTCAATCAGGACAGCTATGCAGAAGCTGAATTCCCTGAGTGGCGGACTCTGACTGCGCAGATTGCTGCCTGTGTGCGGCGCTCTTTGGAGTTTGGATGCCAATATTGTGACAGGCGATGAGGCAACAGCAGCTGCACAGGGCCTAGCAGGACAGGGCAGTCATGGTCATGTGCACCGTGCATCGACACCTCGACAGCTCGACAGCACGGCAGATCTGGCGACTCGACAGCCGCGCGCCTCCCTTTCTCTCACAGGTCCGTCCCGTAGCGTCCTGTGCGTGGTGGATGCGTTGCTTCTCTGCAGCGAGCGCGAGGTGCTGCAGCCACTTCTCTGGCTGCTGATGCAGATCGGCTTCAGAGTCTCAGTGATGAGCTTGCCGCTGCCAAGGCTTCCGCCTTGCCCGTGTGTTTCGTCCCTTTTGCAGATCGGCTCTGGGGAGTTTTGAGGCAGAAAGCACGGAAGCAGAATCTGAGTCCTTCGACCTAGGCGGGATTGGAAAGTTGTGAGATGAAAGGTTGCTCTTGAAGTATGTGCAGCGAAGATACTCGTAGAGCGTTGACACGAGGCCAGGAGGTTCAAGAAGTGAAGTCGGCGAAGGCCAAGGCCTGGATGGTGCTCCAGCAGCTGCTTGGAGCCAAGCCATTCGATGTGCAGTTTGAAGCAATTTAGAGTTTAGGGCAAACTGAAGGCACAACTGACAGCACTGAGACTTACGAATCAGGGAGCGCAGAAACGATAAATCGGGCCTGGATCATCACTGGTTTCCGGGCAGGTACGGCAGGCCACAAGAGGCGCCCGAACACGGCCTTAATGTTTGATGAGATTAGCTCTCGTCAGCCTGCCCCACCCCCACCCCTCCCCCGCATTCCAAATTCCCAATGGCCGGGCTAAGCTGTAGTCAAAACGCTGAAGGTGGAACTGCTCTGCAAACCGTAACCTCTGACTCATGGCAGTGTTCCCAAGCAGGTGATGAATCACTTGTCGCATTTGCGGTTCTGTGCCGGAATTACTCGCCTCCAATGGCGACGAATCTCATCCAACCAAAACTAGTCACCCTCCAGAAGGGCCTTGCCGAACCCAGGCGCAAGCAGCAAGAAGCTGACGAAGAACAGGCAACTTGATGCGATTCAGAGATTGGTTGAAATGTCTCAGTACAACCTGGCAAGGCCGCTCCTATCAGTGAGGTCGTTGGCTTGGAGGCACGGCAGCGCTTAGAACTTAAATCGCGATCTCTGCCGAATTCGCTCAGCCCTGCAGTCTTGGAAGGCAGAAGCCGCAGGCCTGTCCTCGGAGAACGGCACTTGTCCCAGAAGCTAGTACCTGGCTGAGTTGCCTTGCTTTCCTTGAGTGGCTACTGGACTCAGGCGATGTCTCGTGGTGTTCTCAGCGAAGTCTTGAAAGAGAGTTGCGGGGAGTAAGCAGAGAGCTCTATTGGGCAACTTGCGCAGAGTCCAGCCGGTCGACGAGGCGTATCCGCGAGGAGATGCAGCGCGCTGAGGCAGAACTGCACTGCCAAGAGGCCAGGCCACTCCAAGAATAGCAACGAACGCAGCGCCACGTCCACGAACATGGAAGGAGCTTGTCGAATCGCGGCGAGCGCTCTGCACTCAGAGCAGGGCTTGTCATGCTTCGATTCTCGTGTGGTGGCATCTCGAAGCATGATATATCTCCAGCTACGCTGGCACGCCGCCGGCAACCTGTGCATGCGTTTTATTGGCTTAGGCGAACGGCAGCTTGTGAGACCGAGTGTGAGGTTCTACAGGTGCCGGGAGTTTGAAAGCCTAGCCTGGCCCTGTTTTGCAATCTTGACGACCATGTACCATCTTGAAGCAGAGCCACCCATTGCGATGCATGAAGATTCCGTGAAAGATATTCCTGACATTGAGAAGCCCACAGGAAGAGCTGCGCGCGGCCGCTTCCAAAGCTGAAGCAGCCGTCGCAGAGAAGGCCCACGAAGTGAATCGTGCGACGAACCGAGTCAGTGCGAGAACAAAGTCACGAGGAAGCGGCTGGTTTGGGTGACCTGGATCGACCTCCAGAGGCAATGCGGCCGACAGTGGTCGCATTGGCTCCGCTTTGGGATGGTCGGGTGGGGAGCAGCATGGACACAGGCGGAGCAGGCGGAGCAGGCGGAGGCGGAGAAGGCGGACTTCTCTGCCATGGCTGGAGCCTCGCTTCTCTTCCTGCGAGCTCGTGACCCGCTCGCGGCCTACTTGTAGCCTGTAGCGCTGTTTCGAGGTGAAGCGATCGCGTGCTGCCACGGGCAACAGGGCTGTCCACTTCTAAGTTTCGTCTGGGGATGAGCGTGAGGACGAGAATGAAGTTTGGAAATTTCAGCATTGCTGAGATAAGGTCAAAGATGCTGCGGCCACAAGGCTTCAGGCGCGACAACGTGCTGCCCTAAAACCAGTGCCTGCAGTGCTTGATTGGATTGAACTTCGATATCTCTAAGCTCTGAGGTGGAATTATGGCAAGGTCGAGACTTACCTCCTTGCGACAGTCGCGGTCTACCGACAAGATTCAGGCGGCAGCCGTAGACCACGCATGCAGTGCACACAGCTGTGCGATACTCAAAATCGTCGACACCCACTGAAAGGATCCCAGTTACGAGCGGCCGCGCTTTCCTTTACCCCCGGCCCGCCGAGAGGATGGGGGAATCCCGGAGAGGTGTTGGGCTTCTTTGGCTCCTCTTCCAATATCTGCAAGGAGCGCGAAGCAGCTGCCATCAAGCTGCAGGCCGTCGAGCGTCCGGGCCTCGCAAGCCGTCACGAACTCAACTTGCCGTGGGCTGCCACGGCTGTGCCGCATGACCCTTGAAGGTGGAATTCTGGCTCGCTCACGCGTGCAGCGCATGAGAGAGGCCTCCGCTCGTGGCTCCGCCAAGGCACGTGAGGGTTCCTGTTTCCTTCGTGCCTTTTTTTAGCACCGTCTGCTAAGTCCCTCTGCCAGGAAACAGGCGCGAGAGGGACAGGCGCGGCAGCGCTTCCTGTGGATGCCTTGGCCTTGCAGGCTGGATCTGCTCCTCGCAACAGAATGATTTAACCGCACGCGCGAGAGCCGCCTCGGAGCCGTTTCCACTTGTCCTTATGCGTGCCCGCAGCCAGCAGCCGGCTATGCAGACAAATAGAAAATTGGCAGATTTGACAGCAAAAAGGCGTTGCAGCGGGACAAGAAGGAAAAGGAAGCCAAAGAAGCGAAGAGATGCAAAGAGGGGTTGGAAGAGGAGGTCAGAGAAGCAGGGGGGGGCAGGCGGGGCGTTACTCTCAGGGGATACATGGGGTAGGACAATGCATTACATGGTTCCATGGAAGCCGATCTAAACGCCCCGGCCTCCGGCGATGCAGCCTCTGCTAAGAAGCCATGTGCCCACTGCAACTTTCATGAGAACCCTTCGGGGAAGCTGCTTGCCAAAATGGCTGCAGCCCACTTTCGAATACGCCGGATGCAATTTTGTTGTTTTCTTTGGTTTCGCATCACGGCTATGCTTTGTTGTCCTGCCCACTGGTGATAGTTGATAGCGTGATCTGCGAGGCGGGCGAGAAGATCAAGAGTAAGGCTGGCTCGATAGCTGTTCTAGAAAGATTGAAGCTGCCAGAGCCAGTACTCTCGTAGCACAGCACGCCTAAGTCCGTCCGTCCGAGGAATCGCTCGCTTGTGAGCACGGGTTTCTCAAAGAGTTTCCTAGAAGCAAGTTCATTCAGGCAGAACTGCCCCCCCCCACCCCAACATCCTTGACGGCCTTAGGGCCTTAAGGTTCTTGAAAGCTGATCCGCAGCCTCATTCTGAGCCATCTCAAGCACGCTAGAGGCAAGTTTGACAGAAGTCATGAGCGAGACGATCAGTGGGACAGCGTATGCTTGATCGGTAAAGCTGAATTCGCGACAGATCCCGGACAGTTGCTCTTTCAGCGCACACCTGTTGTGCAGAGTTGGTCATGGGGCCGTGAACTCCCACTTCTGCTGGCCCACGGACGTGAGTCGCCGCAAAGAGTCATGGATGATGCTCGCGGTGCTTTTCTTCAACGAAGCTTCATCAAATTATTCAGGGGCTTAGCCGAGGCAGTGCCGCAGGGGAGGCTTTCACTGGAAGTGACAGAAGCCGAGGGAAGCCGAGGTGCCAGGGAGTCTTGGCCAGGGCGCACCTTGCTCGGAGCGCCCGCCGCAGCTCTGGAGGTGCGAGGCCCCCAGCCATCCCAGCCTCACCACCAGCTCTCAAACGGAGCCGAACAAAAAGCGCAATCAAGCGTGGTGATTGCTGTGATGTGCTTTGATATGCTGTGACCCGAGGGCCGCTGGGCCGCTAGGGCCATGGGTGTGCAGGCACTTTGGTTGCCACCGTTGGGACTGTGGCGATCTCGGGGGAGAGGCAGAGGCGAGGCTTGGGATCTCCAAAGCACTTTCTGTCATACTTTTTTCAACCCCTGGCGCCAGGCCTGCAATGGAACAAGCAGCAGCAGCTTGTGCAGAGTACCAGACTGGCGCTGTTCAGAAGGCTGGAACTACAACTGCACGTGCCTCCTGCGGCTGCGTCATTGCATGAAGGTGGCGAGATCCAAGAACACGGAGCCTTCGCATGTTCCAGCCCAAGCCGATGCAACAGTGTCTCAATGGGCCTTTCTGCAAGCTGTGTTGTGTTTCGTGTATTGTTCTATAGGTATTGATGGTCGCTGGGCAGATGTGCTGCCACTATGCTTGGGTGACACGTCACCCGAATCGCCTGGAGGCAGCGTGATCCCATCTCTGTGGCATTCATCATGCTCGGGTCATTCTTGTTGTCGAACTTCGCGCTGCATG